TTTTTTTCATAATTCATGGAACATGGGCTATGCTGGCAAGGCCAACATTTATTGTCCCCTCCCCAACTGCCCTTGAGGTGGTAGTCACCTTTGTGACAACTGAATGATTTGATCAGTCACTTCAGTAGGATGTTAGGAGTCACCCACGTTGCCATGGTTCTGAAGTTGCATGTACATGGATAAGAGTGCATCGACAAATCCAAGGGCTCAGGTTAACCTGACCCTTTTGGTAGAAAACTATTGCATTAGTCATCCGTTGTATACACCATATACTTTCCCATTCCACTGTAGTCGCTCAGGCAAAGTGTAGAAGACAGGCAGCTGATCTATGGTGTATTTACAGTGATGGAGCTGGAACAGTTTCTAGGAACGTCTAACCCGAATATCTGATGAGAAATCTTTTCGCTGTTTAAGTGCTTGAGTTCTTTGACTTCATAATTTAAATCACTAAGTATTTTTACTTGCAATTTCAATGACACTCAACTAAGTGTTTCTCCATTTAGGCATCTTGTGCATCAAAACCACTAAATGAAACATCCTCTTCAGACAAAGCAGGTCCAGAAACCTCGAAAGATGAAATCACAATTAACGGAACCATGGATTTATTGAGTTCACCCGACAATGAGTTGGCACCAATTGAGGTATCATTCACCGCAGGTGTTCAAATATGGAACTGACTTAAACTCAGAATTGCCTTCCTCCTCTGATGCCTTAATGTTCATGGGATTTGGGTTGAAAAAGCACCAAACCCTTTTCTGTTTCACAGCTTTTACAAACATTTAATGTTTGTTTTGTTCATGGCTTATCAAAAACTGCAGAATCCTCAATGAGGTTGTTTTCTTTGGTCAAATATTCTTTACAGCATAAATTAATAAAGGTTCAGACTCCCAAGAACACCAGAAGAATTTGGTATGCAATAATTTTAAACCAGGCTTCAACCCAGTTGTCATTTCAACTTTTTGTTTAGCTTCTACTCAATCTCCCTATTGAATATTCTCATTATAAGCTTGTTGTGCCTCAGTTGAGTGATGATCAGTTGAGAGTAGAACCTGTTCAAAAGGTCGGTTTGGATACCACATCGTCATTTGTATGCAGTTTGTGTTGACAGATGTAAAATTATCACTGAGAAGATCAGGGTTGCAACAGAAGGTGTGGAGTCAGAGCATTCTTTCAGTCAAAGGGAAATTAGATAAGTACTTGAAGTTAATGAAGGTACAGTGCTATGGGAAGAGACAGTGGGAGAGTTGAGTTTATTTTTTTGGATTACACTTACCAATAGCCATCAAATATGAGTAGCCTCCATTTATGTAATTAATTCTATAGGAAATATCACAAAATGGATGCCCAACCAATTTGCTTGTGTCACTGTGAACTATAGCTCAATCCCTCAAACTGTAATTGTGTAAGAACAGCCATGCCATTCTGCATACTCTCAATCCTACATATCATTAATGACATTCAATAGCTCTCTAAGGAGGAGATTATGACAGTTATATCTACATTTAGTTTAAAGTTCAGATTCAAAATTGTTGGGCCAGTGCATTAGAAAATCTCACTTGCACTGAATTTCGACAGGTCTTACTATTCTTTTGCCATAACTCATTATTTGGAAAACCAGTATTATTGTTACTTCCTTTCTTGTGTACAAACTTAATCACTACTATGTTAAAATCAAGCTGGACTTTATTAACAAATATGTTGCATGAATGCTTCTAATGTACAATCACAGTGGAACTGGATAAATCTGAGCCAATCACTAGAAGACCAAGGGCAAACTAATATATTCCAATTTATTCACCCCTAAGGAAGAAGTCTAAAGCTTTACTTGGTGACATCATACTGAAACTCTTGAATACATGACATGAGAGATGCAGTATACATGTATCCCCTAATATGTCTCTTTGCACCTTGCTGAAGGTATTTGTTAAATCTGCTGTCATCATCACCTCAAAAACCAAATCTTGCCCATTTTATCATTGCAAACTACCATCCTATCTTTTTGAATCACTCCAATCTGTTTGCCTCCCTGTTACCATGCATTTAACTGCTTCAGCAGTGGCTGCTACACTTTCAGCTGCGGAGGGGATAATGTCTGAGATTCCTTCCGTAATCTGTTTCCTTTGTTTTTAAGAAGTGTCTTATAAAAAAAAGTCTTTGACCAAGCTTTTGGTCATCTGCCCCAATTTGTGCTTATGTGGCTCACTGTCAAAATTTGTTTGCTAATGCTCCTGTCAAGTTCCTTGGGGCACTTTAGCATGTTAAAGGTTCTATGCAAGTGTAAGTTGTTGCTGAGGATGCTTATGTTTACAGGCATGTGACTTTTCAATAAAGTAGTGAAGCAGGTAACATGAATCATAATTGGATATGTTTATGGTCATTTTAACTCAGTTTAAATCCCTGACTACACATTCCAATCAGAATATTAAGAATGTCGGAATAGTGGTGAAATGCTTTCAGTTTTAAATGTTAGTAGTAATACACATGTAATGTCTCTTCTGTAGCGTGTGTCCATGCTTCGCAGGAGGACAATACGCTCTAGAAGAATCAGGCCAACCACAGCATTGAACCGTAAGTGATCATGTTAACACTTATTTGAATTGATTTTGCTGACTGTTTCTGGCCCGGGTAAGCAACTAAAGTCTGTATTAATTACAAGATCATACCATTCAAAGGGAAGGAGTCAGAAAACTTAACATGTATGATTGTACACTTTTCCCTCATGCCGGGAGTGTATAATCTCATAACACTTAACAATTGGGAAACAGTAGTCTTCCCGTTCACTGTTTGACTGCTGGCAACTCAAATAAGTCAAAGCTCCTTTGCAAGTCAACTTTTATGTAAAATTTCCTAGTGTAGGAGTGCTACACTGCTGCTAAGTCCTATGGCAAGATTTTTTTGCCCACTCTCTCTCCATATTTTCCATTTTTGGTGGCAGTGGGGGAGACTTTGTTTGTTTGTTTGTTTGCCATCAACATGTGGTTAGTAAATTTTTTCCCAAGTTCTGATTGGATCTTTTCTAATTAAATATTAATAGTTATTCACCACACCTTGGGAGAAACAGAACTAGGGAACAAAATGGAATTTTATTTTAAAAAAAAGATATTTTACATTGTCAAGTAACTTTACATTTTAGATAACTGAAGTGTGTTATTTAGAGGTGGCGAACTAATAGAAGACTGAGTTGGGATCATGGAGGCATTTTCAGGATGGGAACTTGTAACGAGGCATGTGCCGCTGTATGTATTAATGACTTAAATGAAGAAAGTGAATGTGCTGTAGTAAATTTGTGGCTGACACAAAAATAGATGGGAAGGCAAATGATGATACATGTCTGCAGAGGGATTTGGACAGGTTAAGTGAGTGGGTGGGGTGGGGGTAGAAAACTTGGCAGCTGGTGTAAAATGTGGGGAAATGTGAGATTATGCATTTCTGGAAGTAAGAATAGAAGACCTGGATGTTATTTAAATGGAAAAAGACTGTAGGAAGCTACAGAACAGAGGGATTTGGGAGTTTTTTCCATGAGTCACAAATAGCGAGCATCTGAGTTCAGTCAGTAATAGGGAAGGCAAATGGAATGTTGGCCTTTATTTCAAAGGGTAAGGAATTTAAAAGTAGAAAGGTTTTGCTAAAACTGTGCATGGAATACTGTGAATAATTATGGGGCCCCTTGTTCAAGGGAATGATGTACTGACTTTGGAGGTAGTCCAAAGGAGGTTCACTGGTCTGCAAACAGGTATGAAGGGACTGTCTTCTGAGGTGAGGTTGAGTAGATTGGGTATGTACTCACAGGGATATAGAAGAATGAAAGATCTTATCGAAACATACAGGATTCTTCGATTTGACCATGTTGATACAGAAAAGTTGTTTCCCCTTGTGGGGGAGTCAAGGAGCAGAGGGCCTAATCTCAGAGTAAGGGGTTGCACATTGGTTCTGTTTCTGTGCTGTATGTCTCTTCGGCCCAATTCGTCCATGCTGACCAAGTTTCCCAAACTAAACTTGTCCCACGTGCCGGCATTTGGCCCCTATCCATCTAAACCTTTCCAATATATGTACCTACCCAAATGTCTTTGAAATGTTGTAACTGTACCTTCATCTACCACCTCCTCCAGCAGTTCATCCCACACACGAACCATCCTCTGTGTGGAAAAAGTTGCCCCCAAGGTACGCCACCCCATCTTACTCCTCACCGCATAAATACGCCCCCCATTTTTGAACTACTCCATCCTAGGGAAAAGACCCCCGCCATTCATCCTATCCATGGCCCTCACAATTCCACAATCATCTACAGGTCACCCCTCAACCTCCACCCTAGTGGAAAAAAGTCCCAGCTTACTCAGCCTCTCCCCACAGATCAAACCCTCCAGGCCTGGCAACATCCTGGGAAATTTTCCCTTAACCCTTTTCCAATTTAATAATATCCTCCCTATAGTAGGGTAGCCAGAACTGTACACAGTACTCCAAAAGTGGCCCCACCAACCTCAACACGACATCCCAACTCCGACACTCAATGGTCTGAGCAATGAAGGTTAAGCGTGCCAATTCACTGCACCCACCTGTGATGCAACCCCGAAGAACTATGCACCTGGACCCCCAGGTCCCCTTGGTTCAACAACACCATCCAAGGCCTTACCTTTAAGTGTATAAGTCCTGCCCTTGTTCATTTTATCAAAATACAATACCTTGCATCCATCAAAATCAAACTCCAGCTGCCACTCCTCAGCCCATTGGCCCAACTGATCAAGATCACTTTGTAATCTTAAATAACTCTCTCCATCATCAACTATACCACCAATTTTAGTGTCACCCGCAAACCCACCAACCGCGCCCCCAAATTCTCATCCAAATTGTTTGTCACTTGTATAGACAACAGTGGACCCAGCACCAATCCCTGCAGAACACTGCTGGTCACAGGTCCCCAGTCCAAGAAACAAGCTTCCACCGTCACCCGCTGTCCCCACTGTCAAGCCAATCCTGTATTCAACTGGCAAGCTCTCCCTGAATCCCATATGATCCAACGCCACTAATCAGTCCCCCATGCGGAATCTCACCAAAGGCCCTACGAAAGTCCATGCAGACAATGTCCACTGCTCTGCCTTCACCAATCGCCCTGCAATTTCCTCAAAAAAACTTAATCAAGTCTGCAAGACACGACCTCCCATGCACAAAGCCATACTGACTATCCCCAATCGATCCCTGCTTCTCCAAATGCATGCACATTGTATCACTTAGAATCCTCCCTCAACAGCCGACTCACCATCAATGCTAGAATCACCAGTCCACAGTTCCCAGGCTCCTTCTACAGCCCTTCCCAAACAAAGGCACGTTAGCCACCCTCCGGTCCATCAGTACCTCATCCGCGGCTGTACGTGACACAAATATAAATGACATACAAGACAGAGATGAGGAGGAATTTCTTCCCTCGGGTTTATGATCTCTCTGGAATTCTTTACCAGAGTGGGCTGTTGAAACTGGGTCGTTAAGTATGTTCAAGGCTGACAGACAGTTTTCTAATCCGCAAGGCAACCAGAGGTTATAGGGAAAAGGCAGGAAAGTGGAATTGAGGAGTATCAGCTTGGCCATAATTCCATTGATGGTGGAGCAGGCTTGATGGGCTGATTTCTACTTCTATGTCTTAAAATGATTGGCAGTAATGCAGACATATTAAATTTATGAAAATATGATTACCATGTTTTTGTTTTCAATTCCTGCTCACAAGAGGATATTTACATTTTAGCTCTCTGAAGTTTGAATGATATCCACCAGCTGAGGAAGCAGGTACAGAGTTAGTCATCGGTCCATTTAGATTAGAATATGAATAAAGGCTGGCAGCAACATCATAGGAAACTGCAGTGCAATAAGTTTAACATTGGCAAGGTGCTTGTTAAAGAGGAAAACAGGTCTGGAAGTCTCTTTCTTGTATCTGACATCAGCCAGAGGTCTAGAATGCATTGATTTTTGATTTGATTTATTATTGTCACATGTACCTAGGTACAGTGAAAAGTTTTTTTTTTGTTTTCGTGCAGTACAGGCAGATCAAACCATACAAAGTTCATAGTGTGATAGAACAGGGTGAGGAATACAATGTTACGGCTGCAGAGAAGGTGCACAAGAAGCAAGATCAACATTAGATTTGAAATTTGCGAGGTCTATTCAAAAGTCCAACAACAGTGGGGAAGATGCTGTTCTTGAACCTATTGGTATGGTTGTTTAAGCTTTTATATCTTCTGCCTGATGGAAGAGGTTGGAAGTGATTATAACTGGTGTGGGAGGGGTCTTTGATGTTGGCTTCCTTTCCAAGGCAGTCTGAGGTATGGATGGAGTCAATGGATGGAAGGTTGGCTTACGTGATGGACTGGGCTGTGTTCATGACTCTCTGTAGTTTCTTACAGTCCTGGGCAGAGCAGAGCAGTTGCCATACTAAGCCATAATGCATCTGGATAGAATACTTTCTATGGTGCATCTATAAAAGTTGGTAAGAGTCCTTTATGGACGTGCCAAATTTCCTTAACCTCCTGAGGAAGTAGAGGGGTTGTGCCTTCCTAATGGTCACGTCCATGTGGGTGGTCCAGAACAGATTGTTGATGATTGTCACGAGTAAGAACTTGATGCTCTCCACTGTCTCCATCCCAGCTCCACCGATCTAGTTAAGAGTGTGCCCTCCACCTTGCTTCCTGAAGTCAATGGCCAGCTCTGTAGTTTTTCTGACATTGAGGGAGAGGCTGTTATCTTTACACCATGCCACCAATCACACTATCTCTTTCCTGTATTCTGTCTCGTCATTGTTTGAGATCTGGCCTACAATGGTGATGTTGCCAGAGAACTTGTAATTGGAGTTAGGATGAAATTTTGGCCACACAGTCATGAATTTACAGGGAGTATAGTAAGGGGCTGAGTGTGCATTCTTGTCGGGCACCGATGTTAAGGACTGACATGGAAGACCTCACTGAGGTCTGTGGGTCAGGACGCTAATAAACCAGTTGCAGAGACCAAGGTCTTGGAGTTTGGAGATTGGATTGATTGGTTGGAATTATAGTGTTGAAGATGGAGCTGTAGTCAATAAGTAGATATCCAGATGTTCCAGGGATGAGTGTAGGGCTAGAGAGATGGTGATACCTGCCATGGACCTGTTGCAACGGTGGTTAAAGCAGGCTTAGAGGTTAGAGTTGATGTGAACCATGAAGCACTTCATAATAATGAAGGTCAGAGGCACCAGGCAGTAGTTATTGAAGCATGTTGCATGAGTTTTCTTTGGTACCAGGATGAGAATGGTCTTCTTCAAGCAAATGAGAACTTCACATTGTAGTAAGGAGAGGTTAAAGTTGTCAGCAAATGCTCCTGCTAGCCAGTCTGGTCAGGATCTGAGTGCACAGCTGGGAACTCTGTCTGGGGCCAGTCGCTTTCTATGGATCTACCCTCAAAGACCAATCTGATATCTGCGGTGGTGACTGAGGGATTGGGTGCATCCGAGGCTGTCAAGGGAAAGGGACACCGTTTCACTGTATGTTCAAACCAAGTGTAAAATGCATTGAGCACATCAGGGAGGGATGTATTTTTGTCTGCTGTTCTGTTCTGTTTCATTTTGTAGCCTGTTATGTAATGTAGGCCTCGCCACAAACAGCATATGGTTAGTTTGGGTCTCTAACTTAACCTGGTACTATCTCTTGGCATTTCTAATGGTTTTATGACTGCACACATGGTCTTCAGTTGGCATATTAACTTGTGTTCGTGCAGCTTCCTTCCCAAGTTTAATGTGACTACCTGGCCTGAAAACACCCCATGCAAATTACTGGGAACAAATGTTGAGCTAGGTTCAGCTGTGTTCTTTAGTTCTGAAGAAGGGTCACTATGCCCTAAACATTAACTCTATTTTCTCTCCACAGATGCTGCCAGACCCACTCAGTTTTTCCAGCGATTTCTGATTTTTGTAATGTAGCAAGTGAGGGGAGGACAATGATCTCCCTAGTGTCTGAGAAGGTGGTTTGGCTTTCTATTAGTATAAAAGTTCATTTCTTCCAAAGAGTAAATTCATGTCCACTGTGGGCACCCAGAACAGGAAAGCCCCGTGCTCAATTTGCATTCTGTGCTAAGCTTATCAACAGAAGGTGGATGTTAGAAGGTCCATTAGAATTAGTGAAAGTACCCAGAGGAGCAAAATCATTCCAACTGGTCCATGTGCAACAGCCACTCCAGAAAACAATTATATTGAGTGCATAAGCACAGGATTAACTGGAATGTGATACTCCAATAGTTGAAAATTCTTTAAAGAATAGTCATTTGAATGAGATGCCAGAGTACAAAGACACCAGGGAAGCCCAGTCCAAGTCAGAAGTTCAGCAGAGGATGGTGGAATGTGTAAAACAAAATAAACAATGAGCAACAAATTTACTACTTGCTGCTATAAAGAATTGTAGAGGAAAAAAAGCTAAATGTTCTCATCGTCTTTCCCTCAGGAATCTCAGACATAGAGACGGAAAAACAACTTGAGGGAACGGATTTTGAAGCAATGGAACAACTGTTGACAGTCAGCAGTCAGTCTGTTACGTCACGACCAATCTCCACTGATATGAATGATGTAAATAACACACCTACAAATACAGAGACAACTTTTACAGATTCTCTTATGGATTTGCCAACTGAAGGGATGAAACTAAAGCACTGTACCAAAGGCAGGCCAAGACCAAACAGGATCAGGAAACATCCGCCCTCCAAACCTACCGTAAGTCTGTCTTGGAAGCATTTTTAATGGAGATATGTTTAGCAAAAAGTCAATAACATTAGGCCAATTACTTACCTTTCACAATCTCCTAGACAAATTGCTAACAACTTATGTTGTAAATAAGAAAGATAGCTGGGAGTTAAAACTTTAGCAACAGGAAGGAAAGGAAGAAATGTACTCTTTTTGGGTTAGTTATCTAAAGAGATGAATTGCCAATTACACTGAGGTCAATGTAGGGTAAGGCTGAGATTCCAGATCACATGCTGTTTTCCTAATTTAGAATAAACCTGCTAGGTTTCTGGCTTGCTGAAGATTTTTTTTAGACCAAACCAAATTTAGAGTTGTCTTGTGATTTTATTAACTTTGTTGATTTTGGGATAACATTTTAACATGTGCTGTTAACTGAGATCAAAAGAAATTTCTGTGTATCTGTCAGTGTGGGTAGCTCTCTCTCCATTTCTACCTTAAATAAACGCATCCATGAAGTAATATCAATAAACAGTGACAAAGTGGCAGGCACTTTGAATCACGTTGAAACACTGCCAGCAGGCCTTCATTGAAGGAAATAGCCATGTCTACAAATCAATAGTAGGGAAATCTTATCAAGCCCTGAATGACTTGGGCTATGGCGAGAAATTTGGGAGAATTGTGTGAGCATTCCTTTCAAAATGTTGCATTTTCTCAGAGTTGCAATCTTTGAAATGAGGTTCTGACTCAGCAGCAGGGAGATGCCTACTAAGGGGATTATTGCTTGTTATCAGCCTAATTAACTGTACATCATGCCTCAATTATATGCACACTCCTACCTTACCACCCACTGTGAGGAAACTAGATGTTGAGACTGCGCGACATCGAAGTCCAAGCAGGCCTCCAGACCTCCATCTTTGGACACTGACAGCAACATCTTGGGGCACCTGTCACATCCATCCTCGTCTGTGTACACCGGCATCTGACACTTGCCAGCCCCTCAGGATCCCACAACATCTCGCAGATTGACTTGGCGAACATTTTTGCACTCTGAAACTGCAAGGTACACTGGCAACAAGGATTGAAATGCTGCTCCAAGGACACTTTGCAGGGGGAGGCACCCAAATCATAAGCTCTCTGAACTGCTCACTTACTTTCTTAGCACTCACTTGCCTTGGGCCTACACGGAAACGCACCTGATTTGCCTTTGCTTTTTCTACCCTCCGCCACAATATCAGCCAGGTTCACAGTACCTGTCTTGCCGTATCGTTTAGTGTAAGGACAAAGCTTGTCATGATTGTCAGCAGTCTTCAGTCAAGTCAAACAGCCTTAAGTTGGGGTCCTGGTACAGTAAGTCTGATAAAACTAACTGCTAACTCTGACAACTTTTCTGGGAAGGGAAGTGAAATAGACAGACAGAGGTGAAAACTCAATGCCAAGGATGCCTGTTATATAATTTATAAAATTAGGGGAGGTGATGTTCTACTGGTATTATTGCTAGACTATTTGTCCAGATTCTCAGGTAATGTTCTGACTCTTTCTTGTCCCTAATTACCCAGAGGACAGTTAATAACTGGTCAGCAATGCCATATCCCATGAATGTGTTTTTTTTAAAGAAACTGCATTAGCTCAGGAATGATGGGTTCAATGTGTTATTGAAATTCTTAAAGTGGAAATGATTATTAAAACTGCGATTAGTATCCTGCTGTTTGAATGCTGTCAGACTGGGCTATTCAGTTGCATTTTGTTTATACTTGGTATAGGTACAATCTGTGGACCAGGAAAAAGGAAAGAATGTAACCATCGGCAGATTAGATCTAGGACTAGAAGAATTCTTCACAAAGAAGATAATTCAAGAAGAAACCAGTTATGCGTCTGCTGCTTTGAGTGATTCATCATCTCAGTGAGTGACAAGTGTTCCATCATATTTCTGACTTGAGCCTTGTAAATGGAGCAAAAAGAAATAAGGAGGTGAACCACTCACCACAGATTTTCAGCTCGTGTCTTTATGTTGTAGCTACAGTCCTAATGAAGCTTGTCCAGTTTGACTTTTAGACAATGATCATTGTTGATTTTGGAGAACAAGGTACAGTGAAGGTCATGGGAAATGGTTAAAATGGCGGTTAGCTGACATTTGTGTGGTGCAAGTGATATCCATCTCTTGCACACCCATTATTATCCAGGTCCTGTTATAACTCAGTCAGCTTTTTTTTTGAACATAGTTGATAACCTGTTACAAAAGACAAAAGTCATCATTTGACAACAACTAACTTGAATTGTGGGAGTCTCAATGCTTTAATATTGCTTTCTCCAGCCCCTCTGAGGGCTACAAGAGCCAGGAGATGTCAAAGCAAAAACAGAAAATACTCCTATTTTTAAAAAGACATTATAACCTTTCCAAGGAGTATTCCCCAGTTTTGGGGTTAAATACATAAATGGATGGCAGAAGAATTATTCACTGGCCTTGTGAGCACCATTACATCCTGGACCAATTTCCTAATGGTGGGATTGGAATAGAAAGGGCTTTCCACTTACAGCATCCAAAATAGACCAGTTCCCTGGACACTGCCCCTTGGCAGATGACTGGGGCCACCATTCTAGATAGGATTCAGGGTGGCACAGTGGTTAGCACTGCTGCCTCACCGCACCAGGGACCTGGGTTCGATTCTACCATCGGGCGACTGTCTGTGTGGGTTTCCTCCGGGTACTCCAGTTTCCTCTCTCAGTCCAAAGATGTGCAGGTTAGGTGGATTGGCCACGCTAAATTGCCCATAGTGTTCAGGGATGTGTAGATTAGGTGGGTTATAGGGGGATGGGTCTAGGTGGGATTTTCCAAGGGTCGGTGTGGACTTGTTGGGCCGAAGGGCCTGTTTCCACACTGTATTGATTCTATAATTTGCTGCCTTCCCCACATGTCTGTCCACATGGTAGTGCAACAGCTGTGACTGGGTTGATGAGTGGTGCCACAAGATGGAAGTACCTTGCTTTATACCTGGACTGCCAGCTGTAGCTCATTTTTACTGCTGGAAGGTTTTGAGAGCTGAGTGGTTTGGCCAATTCAAAGAAAATCAGTCAGGTTACTGTTGTCCACACAGTGCAGATTCATGACCATAATTTGACTCCAGTGCAAGAATCCTGACTCAAATCCTGGCCCGGTTTCTGGATTTCACTGAAAATTTGGTTTCTGTCTCCACAGATGCTGTCAAAACATGTTGGGTTTCTCCAGCCCTTTCTGTTTTTACTTCAGTATCAGAAGTATTTTGCATTCATTTATGAAATCAAGACCAGATTTCCTACTCCTAAGCACCTCCTGGTGGTCACTCAGAGTGGCAGACATCTTTTACTCAGTCATGGAAAACTACTATAGTGGTCAGTAGCAGGGGAATGAGAGGAAAAGCCTTTAACCACATGCGGAAAAGAAGCTGAACATCACATGACAAAAACCTTTCTTTGAATCAATTGCTGTGTTTTGTGTTTTTTGCTAGCTACTAACATAACTGATTTCCAGCTAGGAATGAATGCTACAATGTACTCCTGGGCTTGTACTGCTATATCATACAGCATAGAAGGAGATTATCTGCCTATTGTGTCTGTACTGGCACTCTGGAAACAATTAAATCCTGTTCCTCTGCTCTTTCTCTACGGCCGTTCAAATGCTTTCCTTTCAGTATTTATCTAAATCCCTTTTAAAAAGCTACTATGAAACCTGCTTCCACCACCCTTTTTAAAGTAGTTTATCGTAATCTGCTACATAAAAAGTTCTCCTCTTTGCTACCGTCCCTGGGGTTTTTTGCCAACTTTCTGAAATTTCTGTCATTAAACATTTTCTCCCACCCACTCTATCAATACACTTCATAATTTTGAACATGTATTAAATCAACGGTTAACATTCTATATACTACAGAGAATCTAATGTTTCTAACCTCTACCCACAATGGAGGTTCCTCATTACGAGTTCCATTCTATAGCTGTCTCTGCCCTGACATCTTTCCAAAAATGTGGTGTGAAAGTTGGACACAATATTTCAGCTGATTCCCAATCAATGTCTTCTAAAAGTTTAACCTAACTTCCCTGCTTGTACACTCAATTTCTATTTATGAGACCATGGATCTCTCTCGTTTTTCTAACAGCCTCAAGCATTTGTCCTGCCACCTTTTTAAATGTGTGAGTAGATACCCCCTTTAAAGTTTGTGCCATTTAGTTTATGCTGCCTCTTCTCATTATTCCTACCAAACCGATTCTCTTCACATTTCTCTGTATTGAATTTAATCTACCACACGCCTTCCCACTTCACTAATTTGTCTGCATTCTCCTTAAGTCTATTACCATCCTCCTCACTATTTCCCACATTCCCAAGTTTTGTTACATTTGGAAACCTTTCTCCCTTGTACCTAAATCCATTTCATTAATATATACCAAAAAGAGAAGTTGTCCTAGTGTCAACTGCAGGCAGCCATCACTTTATACTAATTTCTGAGAAAGAAACACATTCAGCATTACTTTCTAACAGATTTTATGTGTACACTACCACATCAGTTTTAATCCCATATGTTTGTTTTTTGTAAATCAGTCTTTTTGGCGGTCCTTTTTCAAAATCCATACACACATCAATCACGTATGGCTTCATTAGCATCTAATACTTCATTGAAGAACCCGAACAAACAGAAAATGCTAGACGTAATCATCACGTCAAGCATCTTCTTTGGCAAAAGAAACAGAATTAACTTCTCAGGTTTTATAGGTTGTTATGGCAATTAGGTGTGCACTGTTGCTGAAGTTCCACTATTCCACAAGTCATGACAAAACAAAAGGTAGTTTTTTTCAGTTTTATGTAGATGGTTAATTAAATACCTTTATCTGTACCAGATTTTAAATAAGATCTATTAACTAGATCTATGAATAATTATTGGTTTATTATTCAGTGAAATAAAATGCACGGTTGATACTAGAGATGTATAAATGCTTATCTCTCGAAATATCTTCACAACACACACACAACTACCTGCAGGTATTGGTTTTATGAACGCTTTGGCTACTTAGGTTATTCTTGCATGTAAAATGATAAAGTGTACAGTGTTCGAAAGTCTGTTACTATAATCTTTTGGGACGCATGATCAAGTCACTCGTGGTTATCGCTGGAGTTTCTGCAGACACACCTTACTCAGGGACATTGCTACATTCTTTTAATCATTGTATCCAAAGAACAATTGTGTTTAAACACTGAATTCAAAAGAGGGTTTTCTTTTTGGAAATGGGAGTCATCAGCAGGGCAGCCCTTCCTCGCTAGCTTCTTGTCCCTACTTCCAGATACCAAAACCAAAAGTTCTCCAAGCCAGTCACTATTCAAACTGCCCCAGCATCAAGCAGTTATCACCAGTTATGTGACATTCAAGTCACATTCAACTGACTTGTAAACAACCTCCTTTAAACCACTCCAGGAATTTCGACAAAACGTAAGTAACTGTATTTTCCACAATCCTTCAAAATTTAAGTCCTCTTAGAAACATAAAATACAAAACATCTTCCTAACTATACACATTTTGTATATATAATTTACTTATGTGTTTTCATCACAAGGGAGATGGTTATATAACGGGCAGGGAGAGAGACAGAAGATCAGCCTTCTCAAAACTCAATGAACCACCACCCCCACTACCACCAACTTAAGTCTTAATTGATCTGAATATTTCTTCTCATGTTCCAGGATCTCATTAACATGTACTTCACTTGTGTTTCTGACTTACTTATCTGATCATCCATCATCAGTTGATTTTTGAAGTCAAGGTCCATAATCCAGGGAATCCTGTGCCACATGTGACTCTTCTAATTACCTTTAGTGTTTGGGGGCACTTTAATCAAATGACTTTGTATTCCATAGTCATTATACTGTAGTCTCCTCATTCTCTGAAAGGTTGGATATCTCTCAGTTGGTATGTACTTAAACAAGGTTAGGTTCCACAACACTTGCCTGTATCTCCAATGCTTATCTAATTCAATTGTTCTGCTAGTTGCACAAATAATGCATGAACATATGTCCAATGCTTCATCCAAGCATAATAGAAAGAACAATGATTATGTATTGTGAAATAACTAAATTATTTTTAAAGGGATGTTTCATAACCTTCCTCTATAAACCACAGGCATGCACCTTTTATACCTCTCCCTCTTTTACTTACTACTAACTTCAGTAGAAACACAAAACAGGCAGCTGATCTGATCCTGCTGGCTTTCTGTCAGGTAGGCTAGGTTAAAATTACCCCCAACACTGAATGCAGATTTAGTTTAGATTCAGACTGTCAGTTATTAGTGTGTTTTATGTAATGCAGCCCCCTCAGAAACTTGTAATTTGTTCCATAGTACTACTCATTACAAAGGAACAGAAACCCAAATTATCTTTCCTGTACACACAATAACACACTACATACTCATCATTTATCCTATTTATAGAAAGGTGTCCTCTGTAGCTAATCCAGTTTTGGACAGGTCTGCTAAATGTTCTTTGCTATGGTAACTCAAAGAACTGATAACCAAGATTAACACTGGCAATATTAACACAATCGTTTTATGTTACACTTTGTTTTGTAAGTAGTCATCAAAATGACATGACGCGATTTGCAGATTCAGATGGCGTGACCTTGCACTCAAGTTATTTTCCATGACTAACAATGTAGATAATCTCTGGCATCAATGTTAAAAAGATTTCATGTGGCAACTCCAGGCTGAGTCAACATTTGTATAGAAATCTATTATTAACTATAATTTCAAACAATAAACAAGCTCAACTTTTCCTGCATACAGCAATTGGTTTCATGCTTTGGTGTTGGAGTCCAACTAATTTCTGACCTACTTCTCTGCTTTTTGCAGGAAAGACCAACCTCAAAAGCTGGAAGACTCAAACACTTCTTCGCTTCCAAAAACAAAAAAGAGATATCCCAAACTCAGTGACTTGTTTGCTTTCAAGAAAACTCGGTTCAACAGAATGCAAAAGGTAGAGAAGGATCCTGAAAGAAACCAACAGAAAGGCAAGAAAAATTCTTCTGTGGATATCTTAAAACCCCAGAATGAATCTGAAGAAATGCATGATCAAGCTAAACCAGAAGAGGGCAGTGCAGAACAAACCAAACAAGACATTAAACTCAGGCACCAGTCATCTTTCAGAGGTCTCAAAACACACTCATTAATTCTGTTCCCTGGAAGTAAGGATGTTGAGGAATCGTCTTTGCAGTTCACAATGAAAGGCAAGGTATGTGTAAAATTAAAGATTGGGATATGCATATATTTGCTGCAAAATAAAATGTGCTGCAGAGATCGAAACAAGATTGCAAATGCTGGAAATCCAAAAGTGTGCATTGTGCAGATCTGATGAGGGGATATAGCTGAAGCGGTAATGTTTTTTTTTCCGGATCCTGATGACCTCCAGTTTATTTCCAATATTTTATAAGGTTAATAATAAAGTTTAATAATTGCATCACATTTTTCATGTACACCAATATCAGTATTCTTGAAGCCAAGTTACCTGATGCCTATCCCCCTCCCCTGACAGACACACACCACCCAACTTCAAACACCACAGCATATCCAAGTTAACTTGTCCACAGACACTGAAATTCAGGACAAGTGTTGTAGCTCTGCTGCTAAGTTCATGTTTCTCAAGGAACAACTGCGGAAACTGCAGGCACAATATTTTTGTTCAATCTATGAGAGAAAAAGAAGTAACCCTCGGCCATGCATGGTGGCAGTGTGTACCATCTACAAGATGCACTGCAGCAACTCTCAAAATCTCCTTTGACAGCATCTTCTAAACCCACAGCATCTTCTACAACCTAAAGACAAGAGCTGCAGACACATAGGAACACCATCATCTGCAAATTCCCCTTCAAGCTGCATACTGTCTTGATTTGGAACTACATTACCATTTTTCAGTGTCACTGGGTAAAATCCTGCAACTCCTTTCTTAACAGCATTGTAAGCATACCCGAATCAGTGAGTGATCCAGATAGTGGCTAACCACCAAAGTTTCCTTTTAAGTATCTCATTTTCTGCTTGGGGATCCTGTAGCTTCCGGACTCAATATCGAGTTCAATGATTTTAGGGCCTAAACACCTTCTACTATACCCTTCCTGGACGCCCACACACCAGACCTTATTATATGGGTTGCATTCACCACAGTCAACCCAGTTTCACCCTCTAATGGTCCCCACTAGCAGTTTCTCTTTCTCCCTGGCTCATCAATCTCTTGTCTGCTGTTCTCCTTCTCACTGCGCTCCATCTCCACCTATCATTTACTCCTTTTCCTTCACCTACCTCAATCTTTAGCATATATACCAACCATGTCCTGGTTTACAATCAGCTCTGAAGAAGGGTCATTGGACCCAAAATGTTGACTCTTTCTGTTCAGTGGTGGTGTCTGACCTGTTGAGTTTCCGTAGCTTTTTCTGTTTTTGTTTCAGGTTTCCAGCAACCACAAACTTTTTTTTAATCCCTTTGATGATTGGATTGGTAATAACATTACATAATTGATTTATATGCACCAGAGCTTTTATTCATGATCAGTGTTCAGTTAGCTCATCATAGTGGAGATAGGGTTGCACTGTTTGGTCTCAGCATCCTACACTTTAATCAGAAAGGAAAGAGGATTAGCACAAAATCAAGATGGGAAGGCACATATTAGGTCAGGATCAAACTCTGGTGTGACAACCTATAGCAGTGCTTCCCAAATTTTTCAATAAAGAAACATTTCAATTAGATAAATGCACACCTAACCTTTTTCATACTACTTACACAGTATCAGAGGTCTACACACTTGTGGCTCTGGTGACTTGCACATATGCAGTTGATAGGAGTCCCTGGTAACTTCAAATATTGCCATGACTAATAGACACCAAGGCTCCAGAGGAGATCAGAATCATGGATGCAGCTTTGACACTCAGGTAAATGGTGGTGCTGCTGCCAAAAAATTTCAAAGGACACTTCTCAACTTGTTGTAGCACACCAATTGAAAACCACTGCCCTACAGGGTCAGCATTTTGGGAAAAGTGGCCAGCAACCAGTATCCAGTATGTGTCACACCATCAGGAGAAGTCAGAAATAAAAGACTCTTCTTATATTAATAGTGAAAGAAGTTTTATCAATTTCATTGTTTTTTTTTGTGTCTTACCTGTGAAGAGCTAGTGTTGATGTTGCCTGAAATTTGTCCAAAACGAATACTGTATAGTCATTTGAAATCTAGGGTTTTGTTAGTCGGTATTAGGAATCTATCATTTCTGTCAACACACAGGAATCCAAAACTGAGCTGTGTGAAGGACGTCAGTTGCTCAGATCTGAGCAACATATACACCGGACTCTTGAGCGAGCAGGTCTGAAAGTGTTGCAGTCTGACCCTAAGACAAAACTGGTAAGACACAGTTTATTTTTAAAATGTCACAAGTGTTTGTAATTGCTTTGTTTGACAGGGCTTGCAGAAATCTTTCGGATACTACAGTGAAATCTCAATCATCACACCGGCCTGTGTAACAACTGTGAATGCGCTGCTTCAATAATTTACTCATTGCAAAAGGCTTTGGGATATCCTTGCCTTCTCGCATTCCAATGTATAAAATCAAATTCCTTTTCTCTTATAACATAGCTCACAACGCAAATTTTATCTGAAGCATTCCAAACCACAAAATCAGTTGCAGTTCTGCACTGGTACTTTGTGACAAAAGCAACAAAATTAAGATTTGATAATCCATCTCAATATGGTCCAGATTGTTTGAATGTCCACTTGATCAAGACAATGCCAACTAACATAGGCAGAAATAGTATAAAAGGAGTGGGTACGTGTGTGTGTGTGTGCGCGCAAGATACCCAGGTCCTTCTGCTCCTGCAGGCTAAAACTTTGTTTACAGTAGAAGAGGTGGTACAGTGGAACATGCCAGACTCCCCAAAAAAACATGTTATTGAATCAGAGCCAGAGATGCAAGAAAATTAATGTGTGCAAGCCTTAACAGAAATGGAGCTATTAATAGCACCAAAGAGCACCAGCTGCCCAGGCCCACCAGATGGTTTCCATTCCCAGGGTATTAAAGAAATGGTGGAAACAATGCAAATAGCCTAATTAATCCTCCAAAGTTCTCTCAATTCAAAATCTGAGGGTTTCTTACAAGGTAGAGTTGTAACTGCTGGAACCGATATGGCTTGGGAGAAATTTAAACTAGTTCAGCAGGGGCAGGGATCATAGTGTGTTAGTTCAATAACACAGCATAATTTAGGAAAGGAGCATGGCAGAGCAAGTTCAGCCACGTGTTGTCTGAAGGGAGTAAGGCAAGGCTGGATGGCCTCCACTTTAATGCCAGGAGTATTACAGGTAAAACAGATGAATTAAGGGTGTGAATTGACACATGGAACTGAGGTGTTGTTGGCAATTTAGTATTCTGGAGTATAGGATCTTCAGACAGGATAGGGGAAAGTGCAAAAGTGGAGGTGGTGTTGCATTGTCAGTTGGGGCGTCAGTTCCTGCAGTAAGGAGGGATGATATCTTGGAAAGGTTGTCAAATGAGGCTTTCCTGGATGGAACTTAGGAATAAAAATGGGGCAGTCACACTGTTAGGAATGTATTATAGGCTGGATCTGATCGGCCAGATACTTGCGGGTACTAGGAAAAGCTACTTGCGGGTAAATGCGCAGCAGGACAGTGAGAATCATAGAATCCCTACAGTGTGGAAACAGGCCATTCGGCCCAATGGGTCCACACCGACCCTCCGAAAAGCATCCCACCCAGACCCATCCCCCCTACCCTATCTGTCTACCCCTGCATTTCCTATGGCTAACCCATCTGACCTGCACATCCCTGAATGCTATGGGAAATTTAGCATGGCCAATCCATCTAACTTGCACATCTTTGGACTGTGGGAGGAAAGCTACGCACCTCGGAAATCCACACAGACATGGGGAGAATGTGCAAACTCTATGCAGACAGTTGCCCGGGAGCAGAATCGAACCAGGGTCCCTGGTGCTGTGAGGCAGCAGTGCTAACCACTGAGCCACCGTGCCACCCTTAAAAAGGAGGCGTTCAGAAAGGTACTATGGGGAGTACAGACTGAACATATTCCTTTTCGGGTCAAATACAGGAGCAACAAGAGGACCATGGATGTCTAGATATATTCAGGACTGGATAAAGAGAAAAAGATGTAAACAGGTACAAAGGGAGCAAACCAACAGAGACCCTAGAGGACTGTAGAAAGTGCAGGGTGGAGCTCAAGAAAGCAATTAGAAGAGCAAAGAGGGTGAATGAGAAAACACTGGCAGGCTGGATCAGGAAGAATCCTAGGATATTCTACAAATATATCAAGGGAAGAGAAACCAGGGAAATAGTACAGCTGATTAGTGATCAAGGGTGCAATCTGTGTGTGAAGCTAGAGGACACTTGTAGAGTACTTCACATCTGTCCTTACTTGGGAGAAGGAGGATTCCAGTACAGAATTCAAGAAGATGGACTCTGACTTTCTTGAGCAGATTGTAAAAGAAGCAAGAAGGTACTGGAGGTTTTGGCAGATTTTAAAGTGGACAAAGCCCCAGTGGATGAGTTGTCTCCCACAACAGCCTGGGATACGAGGAGGAATCTCCAGGGGCCCTGACCCCAAATTTTTAATTTGTCTCTGGCATCAATGGAGGAGCAGAAGACCACAGGACAGTTAATGTGGTTCCACTTTACAGTGGTAGGGAAACTACTGGAGAAAATAATGAAGAAGAAAATAAATTTCCATTTACAAAGGCAAGGTGTGATCAGGGATAGTTAGCATGGCTCTGTCAGAGGGAGATCATGCTAGCAAATCAGGTAGAACTTTTCAAAGACATGATCGAATGTTTTCATAAGCATCAGGCAATTGATGTAGTTTGTATGGATTTCAGCAAGGCCTTTGATAAGGTCTCACAGGGAAACTGATAAAGAAGATACTCTACTCCGTGAGTTTTTATGAGGACAGGATGAATAGATAGCAGCTGTTTCCCTTAATTGAAGGGATACCAACAAGGGGCATAATTTTAGACTGAAAGGCAAGAGGTTTTAAGGGGATTTGAAGAAACCCTTTCTCACCCAGAGGATGGTGGAGTTCTGGAATGCACTGACTGGGAGGGTAGTTGAGGTGGAAAATCTCAGAACCTTTTTAAAAATATGGGCAAGTAATTGAAGTGTCATATAACAGTCAAGGCTATGGGCCTAGTGTGGGAATGCCAGTCTAGTGTGGGAAATAGTACATTTTTGGCAGTATAGACTTGATGGGCTGAAGGGCCTATTTACTGTATGATTCCAAGGCGGAGAGGTGATTTGATCAAAATTTCAAGATATTAAGTGGAACAACCAGGACAGATTAGGAGGAACTATTTGACTATCACACAGTGTAGGTCTACAATGAACAAAGCCGCAATCATCAAGTGGGAAATTAGAAAACATTTCTTCACACAAAGAATAGTGTGGTTTACAACTCTTTTCCACAACAGTTGATGCTCAAGCTGTTGTTAATTTTAAAACTGTGATTGATAGATTTTTGTTATCCAAAATAGGATTAAAGTCAAAAGCAGATATGTAAAGTTTTATGTCACAGATTAACCATGACCTCAGTAAATGATAAAACAGGCTTAAAAGGGTTAAATAGCTTTCTTCTGTTCCCATGTTCTTTCAAAATCTGCTAGGTATTTAAAAGGTCCCTCTTGTCCCTTGGAAATCCCAAATCCTATTATAACTGGTGAATTATTATTTTAAGTGCAGGTTTTATTTTACCTATTTTGAAGCCCAAGGTCTGCTGTGTTCAGAGCAGCACATTTTGTAAAGGACTGAAGTGAGAAATCAGGATTAACATTAGCATATCCAGGGGGCCTAATACCTGAAAAATGACTCACATCAATCCTACAACAGAAGTTTATCATGCACCCAGAAACACATGATATTGCACACTGAAATTAGTCCTTTTTGTACCCATTTATAAAATGAGCACAATAAGGAACAACTTTTATTGCAAGAAGTTTAAAAGATTGGTGGATAGAATGGTATTTCACTCTGCTGTCATTGGAGAAACATACAACACACAAGCTTGTCACCAGAGCTGTTAAGCACCTCCCTCTGGATGGTTGCGTTGCCAATACTGGAGACTCCGGTGAAAGTCACACAAGTTATGGACTTTTTTTTATTCACTTTGTGGGACTTGGGCATTGCTGGCTGGCCAGCCAGCATTTATTACCCTAAAGAAGGTGGTGTTGAGCTACCTTCTTAAACTGCTGAAGTCCATGTGCTATAGGTTGACCCACAATATCCTTAGGGAGGAATTCCCAGGACTTTGACCTGGCAACAGTGGAGGAACAGCAATATATTTCAAAGCCAGGATGGTGAGTGGCTTAGGAGGGGTGAGCTTTGCAGGTGATGGTGTTTCTGGGTATCTGCTGCCCTTGTCCTTCCAGATGGAAGTGGTCATGGATTTAGAATATTTAATGATTAATGATATGTGAAGTAAGTACAAAGCAATGTTTTAAATTTCTCACGTGAATTCCAGAAATACATAGACAAATCATTTGGGCTTGCAAGTTATCTGAGTGTTAGCAATAGCACCAGTTTCAGAATATGTATGCAGAAGCCAGGGAAAAAGTTCCTGATTCATCATAATGCCAGAGTAAAGCAAAAAGAAAATGATCTTCAGACTTTAACAAGGGATTAAATTAATAGCATATTTGTCGCTGGTTTACAGACAGCGTTGTTTAATAGCTGTTTTAATAACTTTCAGTAACAATGTTTAAACAGCTAAGTACATGTATCAGACATTATGCATACTGTATGGTAATTCATTCTTGTCCTTTTCTACTTTTCAGAATGCAGAATCAGAATTAAAAGGAACAGACTGTAATGGTAGGACATAGGAAACTTAATTTATCTTTTGAATATTGGCATTACTTTTAAAAACTCCTCTTGTTCTTAATAAAATTCAGCAGGCACCACAAATGGAGTGATAGTTTGCTACATGCACTTTCTACATATAAAATTCAAATAGAAGTACTGATAATGCAACATTGGAGATGAAACAATATTGGAGTAATACAATATAGTTTCATTTACAAGATCAAAGTCAGAGATGAACTCCAACTCTACTCTGGTGGGATGAAGTTGTCCATCACCCACATTTTCTTAGCTGTAAATGTCAAATCTGAGCCCTTTTTTTTTTAAACTATTCCTATTTCAAAAATGTTTATTAAATACAGCCTGGATCCTAGATTGGGCAATTCAGTCCCACAAGCCTGCTCCACAATTCAGTATGATCATGGTTGATATCAGGTTGGCCTCAACTACACTTTCCTGCCAGCTCCCCATAACCCTTTAACCTGTTACTACTTAAAAATCTGTGTCCCCTCCATTCAAATTACTTAGCGCCCTGGTGTACGTGCTGGGGTTAGTGAATTCCACAGATTCATGACCCTTTCAGGGAAGTAATTCCTCCTCATCTGTTTTAAATCTGCCATCTTTTAGCCTAAAACTGCAACCTCTCGTTCTAGGTTGTCCTGAGAGGTGAAACATCTATGCTACGTCTACTTTGTCAATCACCTTTGGTATCTTTTATATCCCTAAAATAGATCTCCTCTCATTCTTCTAAACCCTAGAAAGTAAAGGCCTGAATTGTTCGATGTCTCCTCTTAGCCCTTTCATCTTTGGAACTAGTCTAGTAAACTAATAAGTTTGTAGGTGACACAGAAAATGAGGGTGTTTTTGATAGTGAGGATGATCCCAGGCTACAGTCCGATATTGATCTACTGGTAAATTGGGCAGAGCAATGGCAGGTGGAATTTAATCCTGATAAATGAGATGATGCATTTTGGAAGGTCAAATAAGGGAAGGATATACACAGTGAATTTTAGGTCCCCAAGGAGTACTGAGGAACAAAGGGATCTTGATGTACAAGTCCATAGATCTCTGAAGGTGTCAGCACAGAAAACAGAGTGGAGATGAAGGCATATGGGATGCTTGCCTTCATTACTCAGGGCGTAAAATATAGGAGCAATGAAGTCTTGTTACAATTTTATAAAACATTGGTTACGCCACCGATGGAATATCATGTGCAGTTCTGGTCACCATACGATCAGAAGGACATGATTGTATTGAAGAGGGTGAAGAGGAAATTCACAAGGTTGTCACCTGGGATGGAAGTTGTGTTATAAGGTGAACTTGGATAGGCTGGGTTTGTTTTCCCTGGAGCAGAAGAGGCTGTGGGGGGGGGCTTATGATTGAGATATACAAAATTATGAGAGGCATAGACAGAGTAGAATGTGAGAATATTTTCCCCATGGTAGATATGTTAATGACCAGAGGGCATAAGTTTAAGGTGAGCAATAAGTGGTATAGAGGGGACCTGAAAAAACATTTTTTCACCCAGAGGGTGGTGGAAACATGGAAGACTCTACCTAAGAGGGTGGTGGGGGCAGGTACTATAGAAACATTTCAATAGTGTCTGGGCGAGCATTTAAAATGCCAGAGCACAGTAGGCTATGGAGCAAGTGCAGGTAAATGGGTTGAGTGTAGTTCGGTGTTGTTTGGACATGGTGGGCTAAATGTCATGTTCCTATGTTGTGTGACTCTGTGACTCTATGATTCTAACATTCTCCGAACTGCCTCCAATGCACTGCGTCTTTCCTCAAGTAAGGGTCTAAAACTGTATGCAGTACTCCAGGTGCGTTCTCAGCAATGCTTTGTACAGTTGAAACAATACTTCCCTGTCTTTATACTTAATTCCTTTATCAATAAATGCCAAAATTCCATTTTCCTTCATTAATTATTGTACCTGCATTCTAGCTTTCTGTGACTCAAACACAAGAACAACCAGATCCCTCTACACTGAAAGATTTTGCTGTTTCTTTCCATTTAGATAATACTTTGCCTTTTTACTCTTCCGACCAAAATGAATACAGTCAGACTTATCCATGGTAAACTTCATCTGTCACCTTTTGGCCCATTCACCTAACCTATCCATATCCATTTGCAAAATTCTTATTTCTTCATTGCAGCTTACTTTTCCACCTATTTTAGTGTCTGCAAATCTGGCTACCATACATCCTATCCCTGCATCCAGTTCATTAATATAGATTGTAAATAGTTGGGATCCTGAGGACCAAACCCTGTGGCACCTTACTAGTTACAACATGCCAACTCAAAAAAGACCCATTTATCCAAACTCTGTTTACGTTGATGAGCCTTACCTCTATCCAAGCTAATACATTACCACCAACCTTGTCTGATCTTGTATATTTTCTCTTTGTGTGGCATCTTATCAAATGCCACCTGGAAGTCCAGATATACTACATCTGAAGCTCGCACCATTATTCCACTTTCCTCACCACATCTTCAAAGAACTCTAGCAAGTTAGTCAAACATGACTTACCTTACATAAAACCATGCTGACTCTGATGAAAACCAAAAGAACTGAGGATGCTCTAAATCAGAAACAAAAATAGAAATTGCTGGAAACGCTCAGCAGGACTTGCAGCATCTGAGAAATCAGGGTTAACATTTTGGTTCAAGTGATCCTTCTGTACTGTTCTAAGGAAGGGTCACTCAATCCGCAACATTAGCTCTGACTCTGATGAATTGCATTTTGAATTTCCAAATGTCCATTTATTACTTACTTAATAATGGATTCCAACAGTTTCCCATTGTTAAGCTAACTGGTCTATAGTTTCCTACTTTCTGCCAGTGTCTTTGAATGAGGGGGTTACATTTGCAGTGGATTAGAAAAATGCTACCTTTCCAGAATCCAAAGAATTTTGGAATATTATAACCAATGCATCCACTATCTGTGCTGTCACTTTCTACAAGACCATAAGATGAAGGCCATCAGGCCCTGGGGACCAGTCTGTCTTTAATTCCAATAGTTTGCTTAATATATTTTCTCTAATGGTGGTGATTTTTTTAAGTTCCTCCTTTCCTATATTCTTCACATTACTTGTTACTATCCCGATGGTTTCAGTGTCTTCCACCATGAAAACTGAGGCAAAATATTGACTTAGTGTTTCTGCCATTTCTGTGCTCCCCATTATTATCTAGTATCAACCTCGAAAGGACCAGTGTCTACTTTAGCTACTCTTTTCCTCTTTACATACTTATAGAAGCTTTTGCTATAATTTTGTCATATCTTAGCGTAATTTTCTTTCATAATTTATCTTTGTTCACTTTGTTACTTTTTAAGAAATCCTCTGTTGGTCTTTAAAGGTTTCCCAATCCTCCAGCCTGCCACTACAGTAGGGTCAGGCTTATGTGATAATATATAAAGCAAAATGGCATGTCTTAGTTCTTGCTTTTATGTTCTCTTTAATTTCTTTGTTTAGCTATAGACGCTTTTCCCCTTCTCAATTTTTCTTCTCCTTTGTCATAAATTTTAATTGGGAGGAATTGAATACCTCCTTTAAATATCTGCCACTGTTCATCAATTGTCTTACCTTTCAGTCTTTTTGCCCAGTTCACTAAAGCTAAATATGCCATCAAGCCTTTGTGATTACCTTTGCTAAACACTAGAACATTAGCGTGGAACTCCAAATTTCTTGTCTTCAAACAGAATTTGAAATTCCAGCATGTTATGATCACTCTTCCCTACAGGATCCTTTACTATGAGATAATTAATTAATTCTCCTTCATTACACCATACTAAATCCAAAATAACATTTAGGGCAGACAAGGTAAAAATGGCAAATCTCCTTTCCTACAGGACTTTAATGTACCAGATGGGTATTTACGACATTCAACAGTAGTAACATGATAGAGACCAGCTTTTATAAAATTTAATTCAAATTTCACCATCACCAAATCCTCCCCATGGTGGGATTTGGACCCTTACCCTTAGAACATTAGCCTGGAATTCTGGATTACTAATCCAATAACATTACCACTACACTACCATATCCCCAAATAAAGTAACTAAAGTACAAGTTAAAACACTAAATCGATCTTGTATTACATTAACACTTTAACTTTCAGGATTGTAAGATGTGGACATGCTTTCTGAATTATTACAGTTTCAAACACTAAACTGTACAGGAATAAAAGGGATTTGTACTAATGGATTGAAGTAACTGAAAAATCTATCCTATATCCAGATCTAAAATGCTACTGTTTGATTTTCAGCCAGTTTTCAAAAGATGATACTATGGCCAGAGGAAAATAATTTGTACTAGTTGTAGGCTTTCCTTTCTATTAATGTAGGTGCAAAATAATGTTGCAAAAGTCAACAGAAACTTATATTTCCTAAGATTTACTTAAATAAAAGATAAATGTAAATCAAAGAATTAACAGGAATTTCTCTCACATGTTCTTAATTCCTATGAATTGACTTGGGTTCTTTGGTGAAACCTCTGGCGAGGCAGCATCCACAATACAGCTGGAGACTACATGAGTCCTGCTGGGGGAGTTGAGGGGGAAGTAAAGAGAAAAATAAAGACAGGTTAAGATTGAATATGAAAATACAATTGTAGTCAAAACATACTGGAATCCAAGATGTTCTACTGGCAAGTAAATGGTGGGTTGCAAGGATCACTATGGGACCTATTGGGGACAAAGAGGATGATACATGCTTGGAGATGCAGGGCAAGGCTGGAACAGTTCGTAGGTACATTGTATTGATGTCTATTAGGGAAGAGGACACTGACAAAATATCAATAAAAGCAGAGATAATAAAGAAGTCAAAATTGACAGGCAGGATGTAACAGCACAGTTGGTTACACTTAAAAATCAATAAATCATGCAGCCTGGGTTTGTATCACAGTTTATTGAGGAAAGTGCAATAGCAGAAGGGTTTGCCATAATCCTCCAATCTTACCTAGTTTTCGGAGAGGCAAAAGAAATTTGGAAAGTCACGAACATCAGAAAATATTAACTAGCTCTTGGAAAGAATTGAGTTAATTAAGGATGGCCAAGATGAATTTGTAAAAGGCAACTTATGCTTACCTAGCTTAATTTTTGATGGAATAAATGAAAGTTGATGAACAAACAAAATGGATGTTATCTGTGTGGCTTTTAAGAAAGACTTTTAGCAATATACCACATAAAAGATGTGTTAACAAAAAACTGAAGCTTTTGGAATAGAAGCGTGATTGTCAGCTTGGATATAAATTAACCGAAGGACAGAAAACAACAAGTCACAGTAAATGGTTGTTTCTCAGATCGGAGTAGACAACGGTCTTCATCAAGGGTCAGTATCCACTTTATAAATACATATTGATATACAGTCTGAATATCAGAAAAGAGTAGAATTGAAAATATGTCAATGATGCCAAACTCCAAGGTTTGCAAACAGTAAGGACGGTACCAATAGATAGTTGTCTGCTCATTTTGCTAACTAACAGATGCAATTTAATGCAAACAAATGACAGTGTGAGTCTAATATATTATATCCTGCAGGGTCAGATGGACCTGGAGCTTATGTGCAAAGATCTTTAAAAGGAGTAGAACAAATTGGAAGAATAGTCAACAAAGAATATAGGATTTTGAACTTCATATATAGAGATAATTAGTACAAAAGCTGGAAAGTTGTGCTTTAGAAAGCTCTGGTTAAGCCACAACCGACACATATGTTGCCAGCACAATTCAGGAAGCAAGTGAGGGTTCTTGAGAGGATTCAGAGAAAACATACCATAATGACTCAAGGGATGAGGGAATTTAGCTACTAGAGTAGATTAGAGAAGCTGTGGTCATTCTCCTTGGAGCCATGTTAAGGGACGAGTTGGAGCTGTTCTTATTAGCTGAAAGTAAAAGGACTAGGGGTCATGAAGTGATAATTTGCTGGAACTCTCTGCCTGCAATGATGATGAAAGCAGAGACAATCACTCATTTCAAAAAACAGACTGAATGTACACTTAAGGGAAATAAACTTGCAGAACTTCAGGAAAACAGTTGGAGAATGGCTTGGGGACCGCTTTGCAGAACACCTACACTCGGTTCGCACTAAACAACTGCACCTCCCAGTCGTGAACCATTTCAACTCCCCCTCCCATTCCTCAGACGACATGTCCATCCTGGGCCTCCTGCAGTGCCACAACGATGCTACCCGAAGGTTGCAGGAACAGCAACTCATATTCCACTTGGGAACGCTGCAGCCCAATGGTATCAATGTGGACTTCACAAGCTTCTAAATCTCCCCTCCCCCACCGCATCCCAAAACCAGCCCAGCTCGTCCCCACCTCCCTAACCTGTCCTTCCTCCCACCTATCCCCTCCTCCCACCTCAAGCCCCACCCCCATCTCCTACCTACTAATCTCATCCCGCCCCCCTTGACCTGTCCGTCCTCCCTGGACTGACCTATCTCCTCCCTAACTCCCCACCTACACTCACCTTTACTGGCTCCATCCTCGCCTCTTTGACCTGTCTGTCTCCTCTCCACCTCTTCTCTTCTCCTCTATCCATCTTCCATCCGCCTCCCCCTCTCTCCCTATTTATTTCAGAACCCCCTTCCCTTACCCTCCCCCATTTCTGAAGAAGGGTCTAGGCCCGAAACGTCAGCCTTCCTGCTCCTCTGATGCTGCTTGGCCTGCTGTGTTCATCCAGCTCTACACCTTGTTATCCCAGTTGGAGAATGGGACTGGTGGATTGCTCTAAAAACAAATGGCACATACTTGATGAGGCAAAGAGGTGACTTCTGTGCTGTGTAATGACTCTAGCCAAACTTGGACCAATATCTTTAATGCAGCATTAGTACGGAAACAACATATCTAATCTACCACAAATACAGGATGAAGCTTTCCAGACACTGCTTCTCACTGAATGTAAACATTAATTTTTGTGATACACCGAGGATCTTTTTGCGGTTATTAAAAAGAGTATCTTTGTACATTAAACTTTCGTAGCATTCTGCTAGATAACATGTTGAAACTGAGCTAAGAACATTTAAAGAAACTTTAAACTTTTATCCTTCATAATGGCTGACGAGCAGGAGACTGCTACAAACTAAACCTTGACAGTAGCTTAAAGTGCATTGGTCTCCAAAATTAAAGTTTTCAATGAAAAAATTAGGAATGGAACCAGAAAATCTCTCTGCACCAAGAATTTTAACATAAAGAGTCAGTAACAGAACTATATGCCATGTTGAGATGGGGAATCTCTAACATTTTTCCAGATGAACGAGTGAAAATGATTCACCTGTATTTATCTTGTGATGCTCACTTTTCTTGTAGAGGCATTTCATTTGAATGTACTGTGTTTGAGATAAGAAAATAGATATTTTACATTTAATGTTTTTTTAAGAAGGAATTCCTGGAAAGAACAAACGGCAGCCTGCCCCTCAATCTTTGAAACTTTCTGCACTAGCCAATATGGCTAAAACCTGTAATGCAGGTAAAATTTTTATTTCTCCAGCTTTTAAGACTTATCTATTGTGGAGAATGATAGTTATTGAATGTTTTGCAGGTATGCATGCTTTGCATGACTTTTTCTCACCTTGCCCTGAAGACATTGACTTCTGCTGACTTACAGCTGCATGGTCATTAGCCACCACCTTTTAAGTTACCCACAAGGCACCTTTCTTCACATGCAGCCTTCTCATCAATGGGCTGATTGAAACCGAAGCATAATCCTGACATTCATGACATGACCACAAGCATTACTTGTGGAATATTTACAATATTTTGAAAAGACAATAAATTGGGGCTAAACAATTGGAATTTTGATTTACTCTACCAAAATAGAGGACATGCCAACTCTGATTTTTCTTCTCATCACTAATATTAAACTTCAGTAGTAAATCTAGCCAACCCTTGGTAGCACCATGTTCCGCAACTGGATCTATTAATTAGAATCAAGGCTGATTAATTATGGCAAAATATGCATGATGAAACTTTTGTGTTCTAAGAAAGATTTTACTGCAAATACCATTTCTCTTAATCAATCTCAACTGGATGCTGTAACTGAAGAACACAAAGATTTAAGGAATGTTCAGATCAAATGCAATGACACTGGTCTTGGCTTGATAATATCTTTATAATGGACAATTTTAAGATCATAACACAGGCAACCAGAAATGTAGTGGCAAATGAGCCATTGTAGTACTAATCTATACAAATCCGAGATTGACAATTTTATTCCCCAGTTTTTGAGTAACTGAATTCTGCTAGTGTGATCCTTAGGTGCTACAATTGGTATGTTTAGCTATGCAAGAGAATAATCTGCTAGAATTCCTTCACCAGAAAACAGAATAAGGTTTATCTGTATGCTCGTAAGTTGAATAGCCTTCCAATGTTACCGTTTACACTCATGCATCAGGACTGCCATTGAGGTGAAGTGATAGACAAGTGATTGCCCCGTGAGCTGTGAAAAGTAGTTACTTTCAGAAAAGGGAAACAATAAGTGACAATTCAATGAGATACAATAGCCATTTGTGCATAGAGGTGAGAAGAGGAAGATTTTAGAAACCAGCATCCATATATTTGCATAATTTTTAAAGATGTCGTCTTCATTCTTTTATCGGATAAAGAAGAGAATTTTGAAGGACAGTTATCCACAGGAGCCAGGAATGCAGATTCTGACCATAAAGAAGCAGCAAAAAGACAAGAAATTACATCAGGAGACCAGAGAATCCTGCTTCCTCCACCTCGCAGGAAAAATCTGCAACAAGGAAACAAAGAGCAAAGTATAAATCCTGTACCACTTCCAAGAAAATCTGCAACATTGCAAAAAAGTCTAATTCAGGATGAAGTGACCAGCAGTGAGAAGCATACATCATGGTATTCAACATCAACAAACAAAGGGGCCAATGATTGGTCAGAAAAAGAGAACAATGAAGAATGTTTACCATCTGAAGGTAGAGCTGACCATTTAATTCAGTACTAAAGATGAATCATATCAGACTTATTGGTTAACTGTGTTTCTTTCTCCACAGATGTTGCTGGACCTGCTGAGTTTCTCCAGCATTTTCTTTATTTCAGATTTCCAGCATCTGCAGTATTTTACTTTTATTTGTCTACTTTTTTCCTCCAAAATTCAGTAATGTAATCAAAAGGTCAAGACTTGTAATTTAGGGAAATGACTTCTCACTATTTTCATATCTAGGCTAATTTCATACAGAATTTTGGTATAGGCAACACATACTATACATAGCACATAACAGATAATCATAAACACAGCATGTGTAAGATACAGCAAGTATAGAAATCCATGGGATTTGCTACGATACAGTACACCATATCAAGTCACTTTACTACTTATGGTACAAATCAAAGTAAAGAGATAATAGCTAAAGAACAGCTGAAAAGCTCTGGTCACATGATGCCAGACTTCACTCTTCGAGCTAATTAAGTTGGATGAAATGAGCATTTCACTAGACAGATTCAACCTATTTCTACCATTTTGCTTCACATCTTGGAAAAGACGACTCCGGGAACTCTCAGAATTTATGTTTGAGATGTTCCTTGGTGCATTAAAAAAAACTTGTTGTAAGAAATTGAAATTATAATTTGAAAATTGAGGGTTTATAGGATTTAACAGATAGTAATACCTTTCAATAACAGGTGGATGCACTTTAGACTTCACTCATTGCAATCCAGCTCCTATCATTGAGATTCTGACCACTTTACATTCAAGCTAGAAGTATGAGATTAAGGAAAGAATTTAATGCTCCCTCCAAATGCTCCTTCCTCGAGGTTGATCAAAGGTTTGCTTGTGGTCTCCCAGGAAGAGGAAAAATTAGCCATTCAAAGGTACTCGGTGCTTGATTGAGAAATCTGGCATCAGGAAGGTGTCCCATTGAGAGTCACCCTTTGCTCGTTCCTTCAACCCTTTCTCCACCCAAACTGTAGACTCCATCCCACCCTCACTTGCCTATAGTCTGGGTCCCTCAGCGATCTGAGGCTTCTCCCTAGGTATACAGAAAGAGCAACTATTCCCAGTGGACTGCTATTAATGGAGAGCTGCCAGCCTCTGATTAGCTATCAGCTTTTGACTGGTAGGCTTTCATCCTGGGATCCTGAATGTCAGTATAGGTCCAAAATAGCCGACTTATTTCCATCTGGCCTTCCCCATGAGAGGTAATATGGGACTCCTGCCATTTCTTTAAATGGCAGGTGAGACCCCTGCTGAATTATAGAATCCCTACAGTGCATAAACAGGCCATTTGGCCCATCAGGTCCACAACCCCTCTGAACAGTATCCCACTCAGGCCCACCATCCTACCGTATCCTTGTAACCTGCATTTCCCATGGCCAGTTCCCTTAACCTACACATCTTTGGACTGTGGGAGGAAACCCATGCAGACACAGGGAGAACGTGCAAACACCATACAGATAATTGCCCAAGAATAGAATCAAACCAGTGTCCCTTGTGCTGAGGCGGCAGTGCTAACCACTGAGCCATTGTGTCAAGATTTAATTCCACCCAATGTATTTTCATCTCCTGAGTGCCTCAGACTATTGCTGCAGAGACATTATAAATACAGATCTCTGACTTGGATTGAATGCAATACCCAGTAAGCAACAGGAAGGGAATGGCAAGCAGCATTTTTTTCAAACCCCGCCGAGGTTGTGTGTGCTAATCAATGTGTTTTCTCCCTCTCTAGATACAAACCACCATCCTTCACAACCATCTCTTCAAATGAGAATGCTGGCTGCCTCTGAAGAACAATTAGATCAGCTGAGCAGCCCAGTGGAACCAGAAAGTAAGAAGTTGGCAAATCTTTTGTTTAAAAAATGAAAACTAGATTCTTGTCTATTTTTAAGATAATTTACTTTCTGCAGTTTAATTTTCTCCTTCCATGGCACCATGCGTAGTCTCATAACCTATCACTACAAGTCTGAAACCAGACGCTGAGTTGATGGCGATCTTTTAGTTTATTTTCCCCTTGTCTTCTGTTCATTTGTTCATTTTATATGTTGTTAAAATGCAGGGAGGTAATGATAAGAAACTGGCAGCAGACAGGGCCTAATGAGTTGTGGATATGGATTTGTAACACAAGCCTCCATGTTAAGTTCCTATTGATCATTCAAGTTTGGAAAATCAGACTCATACAATTCTGCTTAGTGCATCTGTGTTATCTCAGTGCCAGAGCATAGCACTGCTCATTCCCTACAGCCTGTTACTTGTCACTTATCAGCACAAACCTGAATGTTGACCAGGTCTTAATTGCATATGGACATGCTTCAGTATCTGAGTCATGAATGATAGCAAACATTGTGCCATCATCAGTGAAATTCCTATTGCTGATCTTGTGATGGACAAATTTCACTGAAGCAGCTGAAGCCGGATGTGCATAGAACACTACACCTGCAGCGATATCCTGGTCTCCAACAACCAGAACTCTCTTCCTTGTGCTCGGTATGAGTCCAGAGTTTTTCCCCAATTCCCACTAACTTCAATATTGCAAGGGCTCCTTGATGTCACACTCCGTCAAATGATGCCCTGATGTCAAGGCCAAATCACTCTCATCTCACCTCTAAGAAGTTGGCTGAAAGGACAGCTTCGTGAGAGATAGAAAGGCCGAATAGTTTAGATATGGAATTCAGGCCCAATCAGCAGTGATGGAGTAGTTAAAATCAGGGATGTATAAGCACAGAGATTTGTGATTTACAGGGCTGGATGATGTTACAGAAACAGGGAAGGGGAAAAGCTCATGGAGGGATCCAAAAGCAAGATTGAGAATTTTGAAATTGGAGACTTTGGACTACAAGCATGATGAATGAATGGGAAAAGGCGAAGGCCCAGATATGAAAGAGCCTTGGATAAGCTTACGTGTATCCAGTGTGGATAATGGGAAGCTCACCAGGAAAGCATTGGAATAGTCCAATCTGAGTGTTGTAAAGGCATAGACGAGAGTTTTGGCAGCAAACGACATAAGAAGAGAAAAGAATAAGATTCTAAGCAGAGCTTAGCCTTGAGCTAGTGAGGGTAGAAATAAGAGGATGAAGCAAATGAAAGCATGGCTGAGGTGGTGATGCAGGGTAGAAGGATTCACATTTTTGGATCATTAGAATCTCTTCTGGGGTAGAAGTGACCTGTATAAGGAGGACGGATTACACCTAAATTGAAAGGGGAGATTTGCTCAAGCTGCACAGGAGAATTTAAACTAGTAACGGGGGACTCAGGAAGATAGAGGAAAGAGATCAGTTTGAGACTGGTACAGTTGGGAAAATGTGCAAGTCAAACAGTCAGGAACAAAGCAGAGAATGAGGAATGATGAATTAAACTGCATTTATTTCAATGCAAGAGGCCTAACAGGTAAGGCAAATGAACTCAGGGCATGGACAGGACTGGCAGCTTAAAGTTCCAAGGTATAGATGCTATAGGAAGGGGGGAGCAAGAGAGAGGAGGGGGAGTGGCATTTTTGATTAGGAATGTACTTAGGGAGGATATTCCTGGGAATACGTCCAAGGAAATTATTTGGGTGGCACTGAGAAATAAGAAATGGACGTTCACCTTATTGTGATTGTACTATAGACCCTCTAATAGACAGCAGGAAATTGAGAAACAAATTTGTAAGGAATGGACTGGGACTGCCATAGTGTTAAAGGCTTGGATAGAGAGGAATTTGTTCAGTGTGTACAAGAAAATTTTCTCATTCAGTATGTGGATGCACCTACTAGAGAAGGTGCAAAACTTGACCTACTTTTGGGAAATAAGGCAGAGCAGGTAACTGAGATATCAATAGGAGAGCATTTTGGGCTATAAAATAGCTTTAAAATAGTGATGGGAAAGGATCAACCTGATCTAAAAGTTAAAGTTCTAAATTGGAGGAAGGCCAATTTTGATAGTGTTAGGCAAGAACTTCAAAAGTTCATTGGGGGTGGATGTTTGCAGGTAAAGGGACGGCTGGAAAATGAGATGACAGTCCAGGGACAGTATGTTCCTGTTAGGGTCAAGGGCAAGGCTGGTAGGTGTAAGGAATGCTGGATGACTAGAGAAACTCATGTTTTGGTCAAGAAAAAGAAGGAACCATATGTCAGGTATAGACAGCAGAGATCAAGTGAATCCTTACAGTATAAAAGCAGTAGGAGTATACTTGAGGGAATTCAGGGAGGGCAAAAAGGGGACATGAGATAGCTTTGGTAAATATGGTTAAGAAGAATCCAAACTGAAGGACAAGAAAGTAACTGGGGAGAGAATAGGGCCCCTTAAAGAGCAGCAAGGCTGCCTATGTATGAAACCGCAGGAGATGGGGGAGATACTAAAGGAGTATTTTGCATCAGTGTTTACTGTGGAGAAGAATATGGAAGATAGAGAACATGGAGAAATAAATAACATCATCTTGAAAAATGTCGCAGAGCAAGTGGTGCTGGATGTCTTAATGCTGGGACCTAATCAGGTGTACCCTAGAACTCTGTGGGAAGCTAGGAAAGCGATTGTTGGGCCCCTTGCTGAGATATTTGTATCATGGAGGTGCAGGAAGACTGGTGGTTGGCTAGTGTGGTGTCACTATTTAATAAAGGTAGTAAGGAAAAGCCAGGGACCTATAGGCCGGTGAACCTGACATTGGTGGTGGGCGGGTTGTTGGAGGGAATTCTGAGGGACAGGATTTACGTGTATTTGGAAAGGCAAGGACAGATTAGGGATCATCAAGATGGCTTTGTGTGTGGGAAATCATGTCTCACTAATTGGATTGAATTGTTCGAATAATTAACAAAGACGATTGACGGCACAGCAGCGGACGTGATCTATATGGACTTCAGTAAGGCGTTCGACAAGGTTCCTCATGGTAGACTGCTTAGCAAAGTTAAATCACATGGAATACAGGGAGAATTAGCCATTTGAATATAGAACTGGCTTGAAAGTAGAAGGTAGGTAGGTGGTGGAGGAGAGTTGCTTTTCAGACTGGAGACCTGTGACCAATGGTGTGCCACAAGAATTGGTGCTGGGTCCACTGCTTTTTATCATTTTAGGTAAGTGATTTGGATGTGAACATCGGAGGTTTGGTTATTTAGTTTGCAGATGACACCAAAATTGGAGCTGTAGTGGACAACGAAAAAGGTTACCTTAGAATACAACAAGACCTTAATCAGATGGAATAATGGGCTGAGGAGTGGCAGATGGAGTGTAATTTAGATAAATGTGGGTGCTGCATTTTGGAAAGGCAAATCAGGGCAGGACTTGTACACCTCATGGTAAGATCCTGGGGAGTGTTGCTGAACAAAGAAACCTTGGAGTGCAGGTTCATAGTTCCATGAAAGTGAAATTGCAGGTAGATAGGATCGTGAAGTAGGCGCTTGGTACGCTTGCCTTTATTGATCAGTGCATCGAGTATAGGAGTTGGGAGGTAATAGTTGCGGCTGTACAGGATATTGGTTGAGCCACTTTTGAAATATTGTGTGCAGTTGGGGTTTCTCTGTTATAGGAAGGATATTGTGAAACTTGAAACTATTCAGAAAAGATTTACAAGGATGTTGCCAGGGTTGGAAGGTTTGAGCTATAGGGAGAGGCTGAATAGGCTGCAGCTATTTTATCTGGTGCATTGGAGGCTGAGGGGTGACCTTAGAGGTTTATAAAATTATGAGGGGCATGATAGTGTAAATAGACAAGGTCTTTTCCCTGGTGTGGGGCAAAAACTAGAGGGCCAAGGTTTAAGGTGTGGAGGGGTAAGATTTAAAAGGGACTTAAGGGACAACTTTTTCATGGAGAGGGTGATGCATGTATGGAATGAGCTGCCAGAGGAACTGGTGGAGGCTGGTACAGTTACAACATTTATTTGGCATCTGGATGGGTATGTGAATAGGAAGGGTTTAGAGGAATATGGGCCAAATGCTGGCAAGTGGGACTAGATTTATCTAGGATATCTGGTCGGCATGGACAGGTTGGATCAAAGGGTCTATTTCCGTGCTGTGCATATCTATCACTCAAAATAAGCTGAAGCAGGAACAATTTTGTTTAAGTAGATGACCGTAGTAATGAATGGTTACATAGTTGGAAGTTGATCTAGATTAAATAGGTGCCAATAATAACAGCCTCTGACAGGGACCAGGGAAGAGAAATTGGATGGGGATCCAAACAACCGCTGTGTCTTCTCAACATTTAATTGAGGAAAAGGTCAGGTCTTCTGGGTTTGTCAGTATACATTGAACTTGACATTGTGAACAAGAAATGAAAGCTGATTCAGGCAAGTATTAAGCCAGAGCCAACGAAAAACCATTGGTATCTCTCCCCATTTGAGAGAGACAGACATACATTTGGTTATGTAGCTTAAGGGACATTATTCCACATCAAGTGAGGCCCTCAATGAACTGAGACAGAGATTGAAACTGCCCAGTCAGCGTTTATTCTACACCACATTAAGCCTCAGGCCAATCAACTGCAGGTTAGGCAGCCTGTAAGAAGGCTGCCTGGGGGATTTTTGCTTCAAATGTATTTGTGATTAGTCTTTCTTGGTTGGTTCTACAAGTGCCACCCTATAAACTGAATAGTGACCCTATGGCTAATTAAAAAGCAAGCCCCCAGTCCTAATTTGAGCTCAGGTGAAGCTATAATAGGGGTCCATAGGTGTTTTAGTCTGATATTCATGACAATTCAATCATTCAGGAAACACTTAAAACTTTAAAATTTTTCAGATCTATTAAAATGACATGAGAATTAAATGCCACATGTAGTTTCCAAAGATATCCAGATACTGTCTTAACAGTAACTGATACAAAGTATATCTTTCCAAATTATCTAATATAATTAACCATAAAAATCTATAGCATTCTGCTTTAATTTAAAAACCACAACCCTGAAATTTAAGGCTTCAGTTCTGCCAGATCGTGGCAATGAAGCAAGATGTGACATTCTGTCTCAAACTGGAAAGTCAGCTACGCTTTTTGCCTTACCAGGAAGACTTACCATTAAAAATTTAGGATGGCAGTTAAACAGAAAATTTGAAAGCTGGTTCTTTCCCTTTCTTCAATTATCCAATTTGTATTGTCCATTATTTATGTGGAAAAGAAATATAATTAATATTAAAAATGTTGAAGAAATGTCAGATTCTGTATTAATCGCTATTAATCTTACAGATAAATGCGAAACCAACATAACAGAACCGTTTTCTACAGCTAACTTGAAAGGCACAGAAGAAGCAACTTTAATTTTGGAAGAAAATCTTTCCAATCAAAATTGAAGAAGACAGCTTAAGAGTCACTGTGGTCTTTCAAGGGGAAAAATACTTAAGCATAAATGGACTAGACTGTGGAGAAGTCTGTCCAGCGTACCTGACTGAAAATTTTTGGCAAAAATCAAAATGAGGACATGATTTTAATAATCAATCATTTTTGATTCAATTTATTAAAATGTATAATAAAAAGTAGGAAATAAAATATTTTAAGCTGAATGTACATAGATTTGCCCATGGTAGAGCACTGTGCATTACACTTACTGTTTGCTTTTATAGATTCATTAAATAGCTATAATGCAGCCAATAACGTTTCTGACCTGGAACAGGAATCCAGGACAAGCTATGAGATGCACTACCTCTTCTTTGTGCAACTGTCCAGTTTGTACTTCAAGGTTACCTTGCAGACCAAAAAGATTAAAATATGTACCAATGAAGGGAGGAGGGGAAACCTAGCCTTTCTCAACAGCACCTTCTCAGAGAAGATTTAGCATTGTGCCTACCATTACAAAAGTTCTTGAAAGAAAAGTAAAGTGGTTAATATTTTTGCTTCATTGTGCTTATCAACTTTTTCAGGAATAAGTAAGTTTACCAAAGCAAGAAGACCAAGGGCCAATGCCGCAGTTCATCACTGTCAGATAAAAATGGCAGTGGGGAATCCTTTGGAATCTATAAGTAGCGCCAATTCCTCATTGAACCTATTCGCATTAATAAAATCCAGTGACAAATCAGTGATGTTTATAGCCACAAACAAGAATAAAACCAACAAATCCTTAATAATTTTGATCCTCTTGTATCTATAAAATGATTCTGGATGATCTATATTACAGCACTTTTGAGATGCTCCAATCCAATAAGGGGCAGATCAGCTTTGATCATTTAAACTTGTCCTACCTCCTCAACTCTGACTCCCTGTCCAAAACCTTCATGTTTCACCAGTTTTCACTTAGAGTGCTTAATGAGTCATTAGATTCATTCTGCTAGAATGCACCATTTTAAAGAGGTGGGGAGTGTAAAATGAGACAGAGGGGGAAAAAAAAAAGTAGGGCGAAGGAAATAGCCACACTTTATGGAAGTTGTATCATGTTTCTGGCCACTGAAGGATGGGAACAACTTAGATGAAGTACAATCCAATTTAAAAGTGTTATTGAAGTGGTGGAGTTAAATTCTGCCTCATTTAATGTTCTAGTTTTTAATAGTTTGTGTTAAACAATATGAATTCTTGTTAAATTGAGATCAAAATCACAAATATTACTTTGTTACTAAATGGTTTACCTTTTCTAGTTTTAGATGCATTTGTTGCAAAGGCTTCTTGAAAACTCCAAGATGTTGTAGAGTTGACGAAATGAAACCAGTGATAATACAATAGTCAACTTGGTTCTGCTTTTAGATGATTTCATATATTTTAATTTTTATATTGGACAAATAAAGAAACAAATGAACACCTGGAATACATGATGCAGTGTCTGGTCCAATGTAAACTTCCTGATATAATGCATTGAGCAAATGTTCCTAACATTAAATCAATATACTTTTGAGGATGGTGCCTGGCAAGCTACAGTCACTACATCTCCTGACTTAGAAAGAAATGTGGATACATGCGATTTCAAGCATATTTCAAATGAATAGTAGGGGGTTCAACTCATACAGGGAGTATTATGTCTTATTACAGGAAACAAGGTCAACTGATGACTGAGGATCCTGGGCAGTCTGTAGCATCTGGTGACTAGGTAAAAAGTGCTTTGCAGGAAATTTTATCTATTTTCTCAGGACCAAAAGAATTGTTTTGTATTTTGCAATCTTCAAATTTTTAAAAATTGGATATATGGAAAACAAGTATCCTGAGGGAATTGCAGATGCGGCCATTATTTTGTGTCTATGAAATAGTTTGCGAAATACATGGGCTACTCTATCAGTCCATGGATACTACCTTTTAAGCCCAGCTCCAACAGACTGTCAATCAATACAGTAAAGGGATGTATGGGAAATATTATCCAGAAAATAATATCAGTGACAAAGTATTATGAGTACTAAACCCAAGGACAGATCCATGCATTTCAGTACACAATTTAAACTCTCCACTTATGTATATCTTACAAAATATTTACATTTTGTCAAAGTATTAGCACAAACTTTTTGACAACAAATTTTATATTTGTATGATAACTTGTGCAAGTTGTGTAGGATTTGTGATCAATATGAATTTTCTTGGAAACCATACAGAAGGTTTGACTGCAACCATTTCCTCCCTATTGCTTCTTGAGAACACAAATTTTGCCCAAAGCACTGCAGAAAATTGCATGTTGGAGAGCACTGTCTTACATTCCAACACAATCATTGCTCACCATAATACACTATAACTTACAAGTCTGCTTTTATTTATACTATGTGTCAACATTTCACAGTTGAATCTCACCTTTCTTTCTGCCAGCTTCCAGAAAATGCTGGCTCACATACTAGCGAACACTGACCACCCTATCCAACCAAACCTTTTTGACAGCCTGGTTGGTTATAAGAATAGGAGTAAGACTTTCAGCCCCTCCAGCCTACTTAATCATTTAAACAAATCCTGCTGATATGTACCACAACTCCCCTTACGTTCCTTAACTCCATAATTCCTTGACACCATTAGTGTACAAAAGTCTAAAATGTCTTAAACATTCCAACTGTCAGCATCTCTTACCTGCTGGGGGCAGAGGTCCAAATACATCTCAGTAGACTATTTGATCACAAAGGCCAAGTGAAATTCACGCACCTGTCCCATTTCAGCCTTAATCCAACAGTCATGCATGTCCACTTTCCAGCAGCAGCTGCTAAGCAGCAATCATAAATTGTAATGCAGGTTGACAATGTTATCAACTTCCCTTTCCTAGGAATAAAACAGATCTGTTGGAGGAACACAACATCCCCCTTGCTCTAATGAATGAACTCATCACAGACTGAAGACTGAACTTGAAAGATAGTCAAGGGATAGAGCATGGATTTTGCAAATGAGGAACGGAAAAAAATCCTATACAGCCAGGAGGCATGGCTAAGATACTAAAACAGTACTTTTTCATTTGACTTCACTAAAGAGGAGCAATGCAATGTCACAGTAAAGACATGCAGTAGAGAAATTAAATAGGATGTATTTAATCATAGAATCCCCACAGCATGGAAGCAGGCCATTTGGCCCATTGAGTCCACATCGACGCTCCAAACATCATCACACCCAGACCCACCACTACTCCATCCCTATAACCTGCATATCCCATGACTAATCCACTTAGCCTGCACATCCCTGGACAATGGGCAATTTAGCAAGGCCAATCCACTTAACCTGCACATCTCTGGACTGTGGGAGGAAACTGGAGTGCCCAGAGGAAACCCACGCAGACATAGGGAGAATGTGCAAACTCCGCACAGTCACCTAAGGCTGGTAAACTGAAATGTCTCAGAACTTCTTGGTGCGTTAAGTGTACGAGTTAAATAGGTGGTGTGGTAAGTAGATAAAAGGGGTAGGTGAGTTAAGCTTGTAGGGTAGTTTGGGGTAACATGGCAGGGTGAGGGAGACGAGTAGGTCAGCAGTTGAGTAGGGAAGAGAAGTTAGTTGTAGGCGAGCCAGGTGGTCAGTTTGGGTCAGGTAAATCAAAGGATTATACGGACAGAGATTCAGAGGACACTGGAAGGGTCAGGTTGGATGGGGAAAAGACAGTGTGTGTGCGCACACGTACGGGGGATGAGTTCAGTTTTGTAACAATCCAGGATACATTCACAGAGCCTCCCAGGAAAGCTGGGAATCGTGGGAGTTTAAAACCTGGGCAATTCTTGCACAGTCAGCGTGTCAGGACCTGCAACTATCTGAAAACTGATTTTTTTTTTGATGGTCTTGATTAGGGGTCTTTCTGGCAAGAATATGGTTTATAGAGAAATTGATACATCAAGTTGCAGGAAGGATTGGCACAGACCAACATAAAATTTGAACAGTCTTTAAAAATGCCCTAGAACAAACTATTCTGAGAAGTTCAGGAAAACAAAAATGTGGAAACAATTTGGATAATAATGAGAAATCAATTGTGGAATTGTTGTACATACCCCTAATAGTAACTACATAGCAGGGTGGGTATAAAAGAAAGGAGTTATCAGAAGATTACAGTAATAATCATGGGAGATTTCAATCTACATAATCGACCGCAAAATCAAGATAGGCTTAGTAGCCTAGCTGAGGAGTTCATAAAATGTTTTCAGGATAGTTTCTTCGAAGCTGGAGGCCTTAAAAAAAAAGCAAAGGCGGATGAATCCCCAGGTCGCTGTGGGAAATTAGGGAAGAAATTGCAAGGCCCCTAGCAGAGACATTTGTATCATCTATACCACAGATGAGGTGCCAGACGACTGGTGGGTGGCTAATCTTGGGCCTTTATTTGAGAAAGGCTGTAAGGAGAAGCCTAGGACCTATAGACTTGAGAGTCTGACATCAGTTATTGGCAAGTTGATGGAGGGGATTCTCAGAGATAGGATTTACATGGATTTGGAGAGGCAGGGACTGAGCCAAATGTGGGCAAGTGGGACTAGTTTAGTTTGGGACTCTGGTCAGCATGGATGAGTTGGAACAAAGGGTTTATTACCGTGTTGCATGACTCGATGACTGTATAACATGAGCGAGCAGGGTGCACAATCAGGTCTAGTATAATGAGACAGGATTAATTAACAGCTTTATATTGAAGGTGCCCCAAGGTAACAGCGACCATAGTATGACGGAATTTTACGTTTTTAATTGAGGGTGGATCCAAGACTATCTTTTACAAACCAACATTAGGGCAATTAAGAGGAAATGAAAACAGAGGTGGATCAAGTGAAATTTGCCATTAGATTAACAGATAGAACAATAGAGATGAAATGGCAGAAATGTAAGCGGATATTTCAAAATAAGTACATTATAACAAGTAAGAAAAATTCCAAGGGACAGACCAAACTTCTGTGGTTAAGCAGAATTGTTAAAGATCAAACTGAAAGTAAAAAGCATATAACTGTGTAAAGGCAGGTGGCAGGTCAGAAAATTGGATAGAAATTAAAAGAAGAGAATGATGGAAGAATTAGAGTACAGAGAAAGCTAGCCAGAAGTATAAACAGATAATAAGAGTTTCCATAAATGCTAAAAGTAAATAAAAACAAAGTTGAGTACTGGACCTTTGGAAAGCAAGACTAGAAAATTAATGCAAAATAAGGAAACATCAGATAAACTGGACAGGTATTTTGCATTTGTCTTAACCACGGAGGATACAAGTAACATCCCAGAAGTAGTGAAAGATTAAGAAATGGGAGGGAGGAACTTAGGAAATCACAATAAATATAGAAGTGGTACTCAGTAAAATGTCAGAGCTGAGTGCTGACAAGTGCCCGAGTCCAGAAAGACCTCACCCTAGATTCTTAGGAGTAGTTGAAATTTTAATGAGATAGAATTTAACCCTGAAAAATAGTTGAAGGGTCAGTAACAAGGGATTTTAAGGTGAAAGGCAGGAGGTTTAGAGGGGCTTTGGGGAAATTCTTTTTCATGCACACTGTGGTGGAAATTAGGAATGCACTGCCTGAGACGGTAGTTGTGGTAGGAAACCTAACAACCTTTAAAAACTACTTGGATGAGCACTTGAAAAGTCATTACATTTAAAGCTATGGACCAAGAGCTGGAAAGTGAGACTAGTGTAGATTTAGAGTAGTTTTGTTGGTATAGATTTGATGGGCCAAAGGGCCTCTTCTGTACTGTATGATTCTCAGTAACGAGTGAGAGAGTTGATGAATTTGGCTTAATTTTTCAAACCTCCTTTGATTCAGGGACGAACCTTGTATATGACATTGGTCCTGTCCATAGTGGGTGGTGGGTCTTTGGTCTGTGTCATATCTGTGGAGCCAGTTTGTATCTCTGGGACACCCATGGGATCATCTATCTCCGGACTAATAGCTGAAGCGGTGATGCAGAGACTTGAAGTACGGCCCTTCTGCCAATTCAACCGAAACTATGGATACGCTACATGGACGACACCTTTGTCATTATTAAATGGACCAAACTAGAGGAGACACGAACTAATAAACAACACCCTCACCGGGATCAGATTCACCAGAGAAGAGGAAAAGAACAAGCAGCTCCCATTCCTGGGTGTCATGATGGAACGCAGGACCAATGGGGAATTCCCAACAAAGGTACACAGGAAAGCCACACACGATGACTAAGTTCTGAATTTCAACAGCAACCACCCTAACACACACAAACAAAGTTGCGTGAGAACATTATTTAAACGGGCAACAACACACTGCAGCAAAACAGAACTATGCCAGAAAGGAGAAGAGTACCTCTTCCAGGTATTCAAGGACAATGGATATCCAAAAAACTGGGTCAGAAGATGTCTATTACTCGAATAACACCAGGAAGATACTACATGCCCCGACACACACATCATGCTACCTTACATCAAGAACACATCTATACTGACCACAAAACTCCCACGGCCACAGGGCATCACAGAGTAGCACACAAACCCACATCAACACTACGCCAACTGCTAACCCATACCAAAGACCCACTACCCACTATGGACAGGACCACTGTCATATACAAGATTCCCTGCAAAGACTGCGACAAACATTACATTGGACAGACAGGAAGGAAATTAACAACAAGAGTACACAAACATCAATTGACAACAAAAAGACACAACCAATACTCGCTCATCTCTATCCGCATGGATAAGGAAAACTACCAATTCGATTGGGACAACACCAGGATCCTGGGACAGTCAAAACACAGACAAGCATGGGAATTCCTAGAGGCCTGGTTCTCCACTAGAAAGCCATCAATAAACACATAAAGCTAGACCCCATATACGCTCCATTGCGAAGGAAAACCGGAAGTGAGGTAATCCAGCTCAACCGTCACCAGAGTTTAAATAACAGGCTAGAAAACACAACAGCGCTTCATCGGAGGCTGCACTGATGATGTTACCCAGCAGGGTAATGAAACGTCTGCAGAACAACGAACTAGCTCGGTGAGCCAAACAACCACAACATCCACAACCCGAGCTACAACTCTACTCTAAAATCTTAAATAATCCTAGAATAATTAGTAGTTTAGTACAGGAATCTAATGTAGTGGAGCCTGATTTAGTAATAGATGTATTATTTAAATCTCTTGGGCTTGAACAAGGAGTGAAAATGTCCTACAAGGGAATGATTAGTATAAAAGTCACTGAAGGTTTTGATGAAATTAAGAAACTGAAAAGTGGAGGTGACGAAGTGATGGAACAAACCAATAACTACAGGGTTATCGCGGCAAATTTAGGGTTCAATGTTAGAGCAAAAAACATTTGCACATTACATCTTGATAGATAGCTCTGTTATTTAAAAGCAATTCAGTCATCTAAAACTACAAAAAAAATTGAGTAGTTTTTATTTTCTAAAAAATTATAAAAGGACTTTGATATGAATGCAATACACACAAACCAAAATTACACCAATGAACAGTTCAGAACAGTATTTAGTTATAATTGTTATCTATTATAATTATATAACCTTCAATACAAGGCTAATCATTAGTCTGCTCCAAAACTCCCAAAATAAATTGAACTTTATGTTAATTAAGGACATGGAATCATTCATTTTGTTCCAATTCCTTTGCCTTCCAGGGTTGTGCATTATTTCTGGCTGGAAAGGTATATGGACAGATACTTGTTTCAGGCCATAGTTTCTCTGAGTAAACAGCTAAGTGGTGCCAAGAGCAGCCCACACGTGCAGTGTTATACTAGCATCCCTATCCCTGGTGTGCGTCAGTTTATTTTTACCTGAGGCAGTGGTATTCAATACTGATATAAATAAATAACATGGATCAACATTAAAACATAAGGGAAATGCAATGTCATTAACTAAAGTTGTTACAAAATAAATGACCAATTGCATGCCAGCCAGGAACAGCAGTTAACTGTGTGTCAAACTTGGTCCAGTAAGATAAGAAACAGCCCATTTCAGCAATCCACAAGGAACCCTGGAAAAAAAAATGCAGATGTTGTGAAATTAAACCAGTGTACAAGAAAAATGTCAGCAGCTTCTGGAGTGGCATGTTGGCTCAGTGGTTAGCACTGCTGCCTCACAGTGCCAGGGACCTGGGCTCAATTCCAGCTTTGGCTGATTGTCCATGTGGAGTTCACACATTCGCCCCATATTTACGTGGGTTTCTGCCGGATGTTTCAGTTTTCTCCCACAGTCCAAAGATGGGCAGGTTAGATGGATTGGCCATGCTAAATTGCCCTGGGAATATTCCAGGGATATGTAAGCTAGATGGATGAGCTATGGTTAATGCAGGGTTATAGGGATAGGGTGGGGGCTGGGGCTGGGGCTGGGGATGGGGATGGTTGGAATGCTCTTCAGGGGGTTAGTGCGTATTCAATGGGCCGAATGGCCTCCTTCCAGACTGTAGGGATTCTATGGTTCTGAACTCAGCAAAATGAGAACAAAACTAAAGTTTTATAGATTGGAAATAATCTTTATTAATAAATCATTCTCATTTGTTTTCCACTCTGGCAACAACTTATTTGAAACTCGGATTCTTGACAAAAGCATTAGCAACAAGTTTTAAAACGACATAAGTACATTTGGAATTAATTCAAGGATTTAGAAAAGTAATGAACAGCAAGTAAAAACTACTAAAGTTCTTCATGGAAAGAGAAATAATTCCAAGTTTCTCTTTGCCATCTTCTCGGAATTCTTCTTAGTGCATGTTCCAGTATAACAACAAACTGCAAATGTGGATAAAATCAAGGTTGCAACTACTTTTCAAATCACTGCCTTCCACACCACAGTCCCCTTCCTGAGTACTTACCTCAATTTTCCACATTTCCATCATTTAGCTCACCTAACTCTCACTAAACATGGCCACAGAGACCACCAAAACGATCACTAAAACCATCAACTCCCAGTTCTTGTTCTTCCTTTTTCAACTACATTCTCACGACCTATCAGTATGGTACTTATGATTTTCCAAACTTTCAACATTCTCCTAAAAACAAATTCTAGTTCTATCTCTCAAATCATTCCAACTGCTGCTCCACTACAGCATTTCCTTCTAAAGTTCTGAAACATCACTGCCAGTTTTCCTATATACGCTGATTCCTTGCTAAGAGCACTAACCAAATATCCAGAGCAACAGTAGCTCGCTTTCTTGCCTCATCATCTTCACAGTCCCACCATCTTCAACCATTCCTTTCTCCATTATAGGATAAATAGACAGTGATGCCAATATGCCACAAACAAATATTTTTTAAAATTCCATCCAATTACATCTCTTCCTGTTCAGTTGTGATCTCTTGAGTACTGAGGGCTTCTATTCTAATCATGGATATGCTCCCTTTCAATAGCAATGTGGAGGTTGTTGCAAATCTACACTAATCATACAAAGCTCAAATCTGCCATTCCCTGCATTGTATTTCAAGATTAATGCCTCCCTTATCAAATGTCCTTGAAGTCAAGACCAATACCACTACTGACTCCCAAACAAATTTCACTCCATTATGGAGTCATACAGTAATATAACATGGAAGCAGGTTCTTCGGCCCAAACTGGTCAATGCTGACCATGCTGCCCACTCAGCTAGTTCCAACTGCCTGCATTTAGTCCATATTCCTCTAGACCCTTCCCCTCCATGTACCTATCCAAATGTTTTTTTAAATGTTGCTATTGTACTGCCTCAACCACTTTCTCTGGCAGCCCATTCCATATATGCACCACCCTCTGCATGAAGAAGTAGCCCCGCAGGTCCTGTTTAAATCTTTCCCCTCTCACCTTAAACCTATGCTCTCTAGTTTTCAATTCCCCATCCCTGGGTAAAGGACTATATGCATTCACCCTATCCTTGCCCCTCATGATTTTATACACCTCAATAAGGTCACCCCTGTGTTCCAAGGAATAAAGTCCTATCTTGGCCAACCTCCCTATAACTCAGGGCTACTAATCCTGGCAACATCCTCGTAAATCTTCTTTGCACACTGTCCAGTTTAACTATGTCTTTCCTATAACAGGTGACCAAAACTGTACAAAATACTCCAGTGCAGCCTCACCGACTTATACAACTGTAACATAACGTCCCAACTCCTATATTCAATGCATCGATTGATGAAGGCTAGCATGCTAAATGCTTTCTTCACCACCCCGTCCACCTGGGAGGTCGCTCTGAACAAACTACATACTTGTACTCCTAGGTCCTTCTGTTCCACAACACTCCTTAGGACCTTACCATTTACTGTATAAGTCCTACCTTGGTTTGACTTTTCAAAGTGCAATACCTCACACTTATCTGTATTGAATTGCATTTGCCAATCCTCAGCCCACCTCGCCATCTGATCAAGACCCCTTACTGGTCTGTAGTTCCCCAGCTTGTCTTTGCTATCTTTCTTAAACCATGGAACAACATTAGCCAACCTCCAGTCTTCCAGAATTTCACCAGTGGCTAAAGATGAAGTAAAAATGTCTGCAAGGGCTTCTGCCTTTTCTTTCCTAGCCTCCCACAGTGTCTGAGAAAGGACTTGGTCAGGCACAGGGGATTTATCCACCTTAATGCGATCCAAGGTTGCAAACACCTCCTCTCTGGTAATATGTACGTGGTCTAAAACATCCCCACTTGTTTCCTTAGCATCCTTGATTCTCACCTCAGCATACACCGAGGAGAAATTTTCATTAAAACTCTCCCCCATCTCCTGTGACACCACACATAGACGGCCATGCTGATCTTTAAGGGGACCTATTCTTTCCGTAGCTACCCTTTTACTCTTAATATATATATATAGTGACTAATGAAATCTTGGCAAACTGCTTGACCCACAGTTGAGCATCTCTCCTGTCTACAGTCTATTATTAAACACCTTTGAACCCATGGCACATCTCTGTCCCTACCACTCTTCCTCTCCTGCCACATTCCTAGTCCATTCTTCATCAGATTGCAACTTGATTTCTCTAAACACTGGCTCTTAATGCAGAATCTAGCAGTCCACATTGTTACCTATACCTTACCAAGCCCTATTGATTTCCAGAACTCTTAGAAATCAATTTTAAAATCAATTTCAAACATCTCCGAGAGCTCAATTCACTCTGATATACTCCAATTACACATTGCTTCATAAATCTTCTGCTCCTCCAGCACTAGTTTACTCCTTATTTTCCCTATCACCATTATTAGCTGCTCTTGCAGAAAATTCTTTTCCCAACTCTTTGGAATTTTCTCCACCTTATCACCTCTCTCCTTGCTTTCAAAAGCCTTATCAAGGCATCCCAGTTTAATCAGGCTTTTACCTTCCCAACAATAATCCCACAAAATGTCAAACATTTCCCTATGCTGAAAAGCACTACGAAAATCTTGTTTCATAGGTAATCATCTAGGCAATTATGTGTGATGCAGGAAATAGAAAGCAGGACCATTCTCAATCTGCGTTCCTACTGGGACTACACTATGAAGAGAGTTCATCACTCTTTTGTGGTATTGTAACAGGAGGAAGGAAAATTGTTGGTTGCAAGTGGGTTAACCAAGGAATACTAATGATATAAGAGTGGTATTCACTGAGTGGAAGCACAGATGGAAATGGAAATGAGATAACTTTAAAGAACAAAACGGCATTTATGCAGAATACAAACCTTACAGAGTTCACCTGAGATATCAGTTCGTGAGTGGGTTCTGGATAGGTGTACAAAAATTGGCTTCCATCAGGATGTCTCTGCAAAGATTATAGAAAGGTATTTATGATTCATATGAGAAACCTTTAAGCTTACAGAAGCTCCTGCAGTACATTGCTGGATTTACAAAGGATCAATCAAAAGTACACTATCCAAGTGATAAACTTTGCAATGATGAAAAAAAAAGAACTAAAGTAAACAATGAATTAAGCAAGTTAAAAATAAGCTAAGTAGACTGAGCAAAGTAGACTTAGAACAGCTACTTATAGGAAAATCTACAACAGTACAGTGGGGTATTGAAAAAGGAAATGGGGAGAGTGCAGGTCCAAAATGTTGCTCCTACATGTCACTGTAAAGGGAACAAGCCCAGAGAACCCTGGAAGAACTGGAATATTCAGGACTGGCTAAGAAAGAAGCAGGTGCAAAAGGAGCAAATCAAAAGAGGTCCGAGCAAGTACAGAAAGTGCAGGGGAGAACTTAAAAAGCAATTTGGAGAGAAAAGAGGGTGCATGAAAAAACACTGGCAGGTAATATTAGTGATAATCCCAATATTTTCTACAAGTACATTAAGAGGAAAGACCATAACCAGGGAAAGAGTAGGGCCCATTAAGCACCAAAGGAGCTGGACGACATTGGTAGGGCTGGAGGGTACATCATTCTGTCTTTACTCAAGAGGAGGACATGAGTACAAAATTTGTGCAGAGGGTCTGAATGGTTCTTGACAACACTGACATAAGGAGCCAGGAAGTATTGGAGGTTTTAGCAGGCCTAAAATTGGACAAATCCCAAGTCCAGAACAGTTATATCCTAGGCTCCTGTGAGAGGCAAGGGTTTGTGTGACTAGATGCTGGTGTCCAGTGATGTGCCACAGGGATCATAGGTTCTTTATTGTATGTGATATATAAATGATATGGATATCAATGCAGGAGGGATGGTGTGCAAGTTTGCAGATGACATAAAGATTGGCCAGGTGGTTGACAGGGAAGAGGAAGGAGTTAGGTTACAGGAAAATATAAACAGATTGGTCAGATGGGTAGGTGAAATTTAACCTGATAAATGCCAGGTGATGCACTTTGGAAGAAGGAAGAAAACATGGGATTACTCAACGACAGACAAGACACTGAAAAGATGAGGGATCTTGGGATGCTTGTCCAATTATCCCTGATAGTGGCAGGACAAGTTAATAGGATGATTAAGAAAGCATACCGGACACATATCTTTAGCAGTCATGACACATTATAAGAGGAGGGGAGTTACTTGGAGCTGCACAAAAAAACTTTGGTTAGGCCATAGCTGAAATGTGTCACCACTCTTTAGGAAGGGTGAGATTGGACTGGAGGGAACACATTCACCAGCATGTTGCCTAGATTGCTGCATTTTAGATCTGAAGAGAAGCTGGACAGGCTCAGGTTGCTTTCTTCGAGTTACTGCTTGTCAGATTGCTTACCAGAGATTTAACTTTGTCCTGCTTAGCATTGTGAGAAAGCACAAGATTAACACTGGCAGCAACATTTTCCGTGGGCTGAACATCAGGAACTTCTGAGAATGCTGGTCTTTTGCAATCTCGGACTTGTTGAGGTGGTCTCGCAGGTAAAAAATGAAGTTTATTATACTTTCTCGACACCATTTTCATTTTGTTTTCTGATGTATTCCTCAAATCAGTATCTTTCAAGTTTGTATCCCTACTACCTTCTTGCCTTCTACAAGACTCTTTACATGTAGCTGTGGCATTCACCTGACAAACATCATTGGTTATTTCTTTAAAATGATCTGTTCCAACGAAAGTTCCATCACTACTGACATTACATGAGTTCTGGCCCCCATTTAAAGTTGTACACTTCCAGCTAGTGCTCAGGTCAACTTTGTTTCTATGTGGTTCATGATCTGAATCTGTAAATTGCCGTTTCCTTTTGACACCTCTATGAATTTCATAGGTTTCTTCATTTTCACCATCAAGCTGTTGTTCGTCTGCTTCCAGCACAATGTTTCTAGCTGCTGTTGTGTCATTAAGTACAGGTGTATCTGGACTCCCACTTACATTTGCATGACTACCTCCTGTTGTTGATGTCAGAGGGGCAATGCTTTTGAACAAGCCCACACGATTCAACTTGCTACAATTGTCAGCTGCAACCGATAAAGGGGATATATTCTTAAACAAACGGTTGCAGGCAGTCATGCTGTGGTTGAGAGATTTCTCCCTGTTGTCTTCAGGTTTAGCAGGTATCTCCTCAGGCTCTGCCACATTTGTCACTTTACTGTCTGTACTTTTGATTAACGTGTGCAAGGGGCTTCCAGCACACATTTCTGAATGTGGCTGCTCTTGCTGAGACCCATCTGTATACAACTCTAATGATTCCTCTGCATCTTGTGTACTGTCATCTGAAAGCTGAAGCTTAATGGCTTGCCTGCTGCAGCCAGGAATATCATGAAATGTGGAAGACAGACAACCAGTGCATTTATCAACATGCTTCTCACAAGGTTCTGAAACACATGAAAGATAAGTTTCTGCAATAAAACAAAAATGTTATATATTAATTATGCTATTTCATTCAGTCCTTCCACCAAAACAAATTTCCAGTCAACATCTTCAATACAAACTCCAAGAAGCACACTTATTATCGAAACACCAAACCACCAACTTGTAGGGAAGTGGGGGCTGCAAGTAAAGCAGGGCCAGTTTGCATACAGATGTGATTTCTACTATAAAAAAAATGGACAGTAGAATTTGTAACAAAATACAAAGACAGAATTTATAATTTAAAATGGGAATTGAATTATACCAACACACCCTGATACACTCTCATCCATCCATTGATTCTGGATCCCTTGGGATTCACAAGCGAGATTTACTCCCATGTGCAATGCCCCTGGAAATTGACGAATGTAATTTCTAATTCATAAACACTTTAGTAATGTGTTTATTCACCTGTACATAACCAATTTCCTTAATTACATTTTAAATTAAGTGGTGAAAAGACCATTCATATTAACCCCACCAGCTGTCAAAGAATCCATTATAAACATAGAGCTGGCAACAGTCATGCTCTAAAAAAAAAACCTAAAAGGATAAACTAACAGGCCGGGATTGAGCCTGCCACCCTCCCAAAGGCATTAAAAGGATTAAGTATTTCCCTTCTTTACACAACCAATTTTCCAAATTCACTTTCCTCCCTGAGAATCATCCTCCCAACAGAGGTCAATCCATACTAATCAGAATGGGAAACCACACCATTCAACTCCTCCACTACTTTAAATACACAAACACAAGCATTATAACTTCTACCCTCCAGTCCACATGCATAAGCCAATTTCACACGATACAGAATAGGTCCAGGCAATAATTTTTTTAAAAAAAGACCTTTTATTTATCACTTCACAAACTCTCAGGAAATCCCAAAGCATTTCCCAGCTGAGGAATTATTTTTGAAATGTAACTGTTGCATTTTAACTGATCAGTGCACAGAAAAATCCCAGAAACAAGAAAAATTATACCATGAGTATGTATTTGTGTAAAATTCAAGAAGATGAAACCAAAATTTTGGGTTACAACGTAGGAGGCTGACTTGAACACGAATAGTATCTTCAAAAAGTAGAAATCCACCCTCCCCCATCATCTCATTATGTAACTGTTTCTGCCTACTGCAATTGCTATCTTACAGATGTTTTTCACATTCTGAACACCATTTCTTTTCATCTATTAGTGAATCAAAGTTGTTCAAATGTATACATTTTTCTTTGTACATAATTTCAATTATGTTTAACTTCTAGTCCATTCATAATTAACAATTTACCCAAAGCACTTTCCAATGATAAACATCCCAGACAACAAATTACAATATAACTCCCCATTTCCACAGCACTGGTCATTCCTTGATCTCCTAAGTTGAATCCAAAAGTAGAAACATAACAGAACTAACATTTACAAACAACTGCTAACCCATCTAAACAGACGTTGTTGCAGGCTATTTCCAAAAAAGTCAAAGACTCATTGCTCAGCACAAGAAAATATTTAAAAAGTCAGACTTCAGAGATTGGCTCTGCAACATTCACTATCAAATAACTTGTTAGGTATTGATCACTTCAATAAACATTAACGTTGAGTCTTTAATTCTCAAGTTATTCTGTTTGGAAATTTAGACTCAGAATCCCTACATTGCAGATAGAGGCCATTTGACCTATTGGGTGCACCAACCCTCCAAACAGCAGCCCACCCAGACCTACCCCCGACCCTATCCCTATAACTCTGCATTAATCATGACCAGAATACCTACTCTACACATCTCTGGACACTACAATGCAATTTAGCATGATCAATCCACCTAACCTGCACATCTTTGGACTGTGGGAGGAAACCAGAGGACCCAGCAAAAACCCATACAGACACAAGAACATACAAATTCCATATAGACAGCTTCAATGCAAGAACATTACTCACCCTCTGAAGATGGAATTCCACCAAGACGCAAAGGTGATACTGCATTCCAAGGATTCTGTGAAGGTGCAGGTTCCTGTCCCTCTGTAACACATGACACCAAATTCTACTCAGCTGTTTTATTAGACTCTTAAAAAATATATCAGACAGTATTAATGCTGATTTAATCCCTCTTTCCTATTTTTTCCAATCTTCGCTATTACCCCTAATGACACTGATCCACAATGGAGTATAAAAAGATAAAGTTGCCATAGGTCTGTTCTCTTATTAGAGTGATGGTGGTGTAACCTGAGGGTCACTACGCCTCAGGCAAGGGGAAAATTTAAGAAGGAGAGTCCTTCACTGTAATGGAAGTGTGGGAATCGAGCCAACACTACTGGCGTCACTGCACTATAAACCAGCTGTCCAGCTAAATGAACTAACCAACCTCTTGCTTATTGGAGTACAGCTCCACAGATGCCTTATCGTACCCTATACAAGCATGCAAGCCTCAGTCATTCAGTTAGCAAGTGTCTGCAGGATTTTTAACCATGAATTCCTATTGAAGACAATCATGCCCTCTGTGTCAATGCTGTGGCTTTAAGAGGTGTGTTTTGTCCTGGTTTCTTAGAGAGAGAGATTTGGGATACGTTATGAGCAGTCTATGAGAAGGTAAATAACTAGTGAGGCCTTGGGAGTTTTTTTTTAAAAGTTGGAATAATAGAAGCAGCCTGAGTAGGTGTGGTCAAACACTCACAGATCAATGATTTTTAGTTAATTTTCAGCAGTGGCTGTTGTCGGCGTGAAATAAGTGGAAGCTATTTTTCCCTCTCTTGATTACAGCCAAAAGGTGGGGGTTCTCTTCTTAGGCTGCTGGATTGCATGCGAGACGAAATCGGTTTTCTGAATTTGACATTTTCCGAAAGGATGTGTCTATGGGTTGTTACTATATTGGAACAGTTAAATAGTAATAGTTGCTGTATCTATTATTCTGTTAAGTTTTCCAATAGAGTTGTCATTCTAGGTTTTTTTTGTTGTATTTTATCTATAGTGTTTGAATAAATTGTGTTTTGCTTAACGTCAAGTAGTTAGACCTGTCAAATTGCATCTGGAACACAGAACTTTACATTTGCCTTTAAAATAAGAAAAAGTCGGGTCCAGGCTACCTGCTTAAAACATTTGGAGGGGATCTGGTCTGGTCCATAACACCTCACTCAATGATTAGATATTTAGCATTTCAACCACAATCTTTTGATAGTGATTAGGAGTCTAGACCTGCCTGCTATGTTTCTAGGCTGATATCTGGGAACTAAAACAATGTGCTTTGTGCTTCCAATTTTTAAAATCCTAAGTATATGATTTGAAATTTCGACAGATTTTGATTAACTACTTACTTTAAATGAGAAACTATGCACAATCATAATGGCTTGAGGAAGACTGTTGGGATAGCGACCTTCTTGTAAGAGCTGAGTTAAGTCAATTTGTTAAAGCCACTGTATACATGCAGAAGAATGCAAATATTGAAATAAGACATTTCATATTGCTCCAACATCTATAGAGGTTTGCTTTCCCATATCAGTGGTTAGTTGTAGGATATTGGTACTCTCAGTTGCCAAATTCCATTTACTTCCGTTTAAAAGTTACTTTTAAAATGCTACTGTACTTAACACACGACTTCAAAAAGTTATTGCCCTCATTATATAAAAACAGACCTGCATTATGTAAGAATACATCTGTGCCGTCATTTTGCTCCGTCTCAGAATCTGCATCTTCAGTGCATACAAAATCATCCTTCCATTCTAAATGGTAAAAATGCAAGCACATTAGTTTTCCCGACAGTTTACAACTAATTACTTTGATTTCTTGGTCAGATCGAGAAATGGGTATAGGCACTGGATACCACAAAGGCTTTGGGCCCTTACAAATATTTGGTCATAATACTGAAATTAGCTATGCCCTTAACCAGGCTGTTCCAGCACAGCTGCAACACTGACATGTATATGGCAACAATATGGAAAAATGGCTAGCTATTTCCTGCCCACAAGAACCAGGATAAATCCAATCCAATCAATTACTGCCACATTAGTCTATGATAAATCAAAATTATGGAAAGCACCACTCACTCAGCATTAACTTGCTTACTAATGCAATTTAGATTGTGCCAAGGCTACTCAACTGAAAGCCTCATTTTAGCCTTGGGCCAAATAAGTTGGAGTGAGTGTAACTGCACCTAACATCAACGCAGCATTTGACCAAGTGCAACACGAAAAATTACTAGCAAAATGCGAGCCAATGGAATCAGGCAAAAATCAGAATAGCCTCTCTTGCTATTCTGATGTTTGCCTGATTCCATTGGCAAAACTCACCACTGATCGGATTTATAGCAAACCCAAAGTTAAGCTAGCTATTGTATGCCTTTCACCTTGGTCCGAGAACATTGCAGAAGTTCCACAGGCTAGTGGTTTCAGGTAGTGGCTACCATCTTCAGCTGCTTCATCTGTGATAGTCCTTTGATACTTAGGATCAGGCTGGGAATTCTTTTAAAGTAGAAATGTTCAGTGGCATTCGCCAATCCTCAAATGTTAAGGCAATGTACATATGCAACAAGACCTGGACAACAATCAAACTTGGGCTGATAAGTGGCAATAAATATTCATACCACACAACTACCTGGCAAAGACCATCTCAAACAAGAGACATTTTCTCTTGATATTAAACAGTATTAATATATCACCAAATCCTCCACTAACATGTTGAGGGTGAGCATCGGCCATGAACTGAACTGGACCAGCCATATATATACTACAAGGACTGGTAATTCTGCATCACATTAGTCACCTACTGATTTCCCAAAGCCAACCCTCCATCTACAAGATACAAGGGGTGCAATCCAGTTGCCTGGCTGATTCCAGCTGCAACAACATTCAAGAAGCTCAGCATCGTTCAAGAACAAGCAAATCAGCTGAGATTTCTTCAGATTTTCATTGGGTGATTTGCCTGCCATTCTTACTTAAAAGAATTGCAATTGTTGACAACTTTACTTTACTGAGGGACAAAGCACACCAATGGAGGTGAACACAGCAAGCAATACATTTAAAAACAAAGCAAAATAACACAAAATCAATAAAATCTTGTTAAATTTATATTTCCCACTGAATAAATTATGGGTGCTACATAGCTTAATTACCTTTTATATTACTTAAGGCTTCCTCTTGATTAGATGAAATCATAAGCATAGTGTCAGGAATACTGAAGATACCTTTTGTGTTCTATTGGAAGAAAAGCAACTCAACATAATGACTATATAAATATCATTGTTTCCATCTTAGAACATTATTCTTCTTCATACAATATCAAACATAACAATTTTTCCTAGCGATGAAGAATTTTCACTAGCTTGTTTGGGAAAAATTACAACACACATATGTGAAACTATCAAAACATTTAACATTCTGGTTTCTTTCATATTTAAAATTATTTTTAATTAGCTTATTCGAATACCTTATAACACACCTGCTTGGCAATTGGGATTTGAATCTGGACTTCTCACCCAGAGGTAGGGATAATACCACTTCACAAGAGTTCATGATGTCTGAAATGTAAACTCACCTGCTTTATTTGTAATTTGAAAATGATGCAAATGTACAGCTACTTATAAAATTGCCTATGCCAAAAGTAGTATAATTTCAAATCAACCATAAGCAAAGTGATTCAACCAGGTGTGATTGTGATCATTGACTACTGAGCCAATCATATTAACTAACAACTGGCATAAACTCCACTGAAACGAGCAACAGGAAATGATAACAAGTCAGAAATTCCCAAATGGATCATGGCAGGTTTTTAAGGGGAAGGCAGTAATTAGTTTATTACATAAATGAGCAAGTGAGTTCAGTCAAAATTTGCACAAGTATAATGATCTACATCCTGAAATTCCCAAGACAATGGTTAAATTTTGTGACACTGAGATAACGTGACTAAGAGATTGGATTCCTGTTATCCTGAGTCAACCAACGCATTGCCCAGGCAACAAAATGTCTGCTTGGGCAAGATATTGAGAGCTACCAGCCGATATCTTCAAAAAGGTGAATCAGCCTAAGGTCAGGAAATGATAAGCTCCTGGAACTATAACATAAAATTAATATTCACTTAGAAGTATTTGGGTTAATCAAGGACAATCGATGCTATGCAAATAGATTTCCAATAAATCTCTAAGATGTTAAATTATGTGACCACTAACAAATACTACAATACACAAGGCATGAAATTTTGACCTATAGTTCTCCTGAAGACGGACTTACAGAAGCCAGAGGTCCTCTGTATGGAGCATGGATATCTATAAGTGCCTCCTGAATGGCTCACATAGCTTTCATGCTTAGAGGAGTGTAAGAGTTGGAGCCCTACATTAAAGATGGAAATCTGCCAATTAATTCTGACATGATGTCAAACAGCTGCAGTTAATTTGATGTTCTCCTTACAGACGTGGATCTCGTAGGTCCACTCAATGTATCCACTTGTCACTCAAAGATCATGCTTAATAGTAATGGCACATGGAGAGACATCTCTGTCTTGGAGATTTTAGACTCTGGCTGAATGCAATCCTACTGTTGATGATGACCCATGGAATCTCATGGATTTCCAGTTTGAACTGCTACATTTGTTCTGAATCTATCCTGTTTAACATGGTGGTGGTACACTCAACATTCTGACAGTTGTCAGTAATGGTGCTCCAAATCCACACTTGGTGACAGGCAGTGAAGTTTCCCACTCAAAGAACAGTCTGTGCCCTGCTACCCTCTTATCAGTGCTTCTTCCAAGTTTAGTTCAACAGGGAAGAGCAATGTTTCTTAAGCTGAGGGCGAACAGGCTGTAGATAGAATAATGGTCCAGGTTTATGCTGCTCACTACTGCCTTACAATAACAACATTTGGAAGATAATTTTTACACAGTTCTGCCCCTGCTGAAAATGGTAAACGTAATTCGTACCAGTTTTTACATCACTGCATAGTTTACAACTAATAGGTTTTTTTTTTAAAAAACGCTCATACAATTGAACAGGGATCAGTTTGAGGCTCAAGAACAGTTTCAGTCTGTCCAGAATCTCAAAATTCAAATTCATGACAGTGAAGGGGTTGAGAGGGGTAATGGTGAGTTTGAATTTTGACATTTACAGATGGTATCGTCAAGTAATAGACAGTAGATGGGAAATAATAAGTGGCCAAGGCTTTCACTTCAAACCCTTTAGTGAACAGAACACGAAAGATTTTCATTCCATCAATTTTGACTGAACATGAACCCGGGCCTAAATTTTATAATCTACTGCAATCAGACTGCACCTCAATCCTCTACATTCAAGCAGAATGAATGCATCATATCAACTGAAAATAAATGAGAAAACAATTGAAAGTACTGTACCTTTTCTTTTCTGCTCAACGTTTTCCATCCTGTAGCTTGATTAATTGATGGCAATAAGAAGGACGATGTAGACGCTGAAGCCTTTGAATTATCAGTTAAATCAAGGCAGAGTTCAACTGTGTTTTTTAATAAATTATCTTCATTTTCCACTGCTGCTATCAAATTTGACAGACAATTACCTAAAATACACCATTAAAAAAATCATTCATTCACACCATTTCCAAGTGACTTAGCTTACATGTAAGACAGTGTTAAACATGAAGTTCCATCAATATTCAAAGAAACAATGATTTGCCAGTCCAGGTCAGGTAATCTCACAACAAAAGTGGCAGGCAAGTGCCTAATCTCTTCGCAACAAAAACAAAGCTGCTGGAAAAGCTAAGCAGGTCTGGCAGCATCTGTGAAGGACCCGAAACGTTAACTCTGAT